GTCCTTAATTACATTGAGGCCTTACTGTTTGGTGGGACTGTATTTCCATTTCCATGAGTGTACTTGTTGCTTTTTACTTCAAGTTTCCAATAGTTGAGTTTCATGAGGTGCCGTAATACAAAAGGGGACCAACTCCCCTCCAAATGCACAGGAGAGATGAATTGCCCTGGAGAGCTTGGGGTTTGGGCCAGCCTTTCCTCCTGAGCCAGGGGCATTGAGCGAGTTGGGTACTGAAGGCATATCCTAGACAGGAAATAGGAACTCAGTGGGTAGCCTAAAAGAAATGTCTGGCTTACAAAAGAAAGAGACAAAGAATCACAGTCGAGCGAGGGGGAAGCTTCAGAACACGCAGACGTGCTCGGTTCTGCCCAGCTTCCAGTTCTTTATGGCTCTCTTCTGCATAATGAAAGGGGCTCCCAGCTCTCAGAAATGCCTTCAAGACTTTAGTGAGCTGTCCCCTGCCCACCTTTCAGCTTCACCATTACCTTTTCACAGCTTTGCTAATTTCGCGCTAGCATCACCAAAGTCTAATCTCCGTCTGTGCGTAGTGCTTTCTTGCCTGCACACTTCAGGCCATGCTCTCCACTTCCAGTGTTCTTTTCTCCTCCCCTCTTCCTCGAACCTGTTCTTACGCAGCTGTCAAGGTCAAGCATCATTTCTTCCAGGACAAATACTCAAATTACCTCAGTTCACGGCTCCCGACATGTCTCGTTAATTTTTACATACAGCTTGTAGGCCAACATAAATACCTAATAGTTGTTTATGGAGCACTTGATCCAAGCAACTTAACAAGTATTTATTCTAACAACTTAACTGTGAAAAATATACACAATTGAAAGAGAAATATTTTCATGTCATTCTCAAATAACCACAACTACTTCATGATGAGAGAGAGAGAGAGTGTGTGTGTGTGTGTCACCACACAGCTGCTCACACCTTCAACCCAGGTTGGGCACGGCTTCTTCCATTGAGTCTCACTGGGCACTTGCTTTTTATTACAGCAGTTGTCACAACCCCAGCTTCACAAACATAAGCCATTAAGAGGAATGTGACACAGTCTAATAATGGGTGACTAGCTCATTTCTTCTAGGACAGATGCTAAACTTGTGGCATGTCCAACAGACAATGAGTTTCACTATGTTTTCCACAAAAATTTTAAAACACCCCTTGGCCCTGTTGAGTGTGCTGTGGCATCCCAGCCCAGGGTGGTCTTTATTCCCTTGAGAACCTCGGCCCCAGAAACTGCTGCCTACTGAGTTTGCACCCCAGTCTGAGCTCCCTGAGTGCAGCCTCCAACATGGTCATTAACACATTGCACTACAAGGAGCTACTCGTGTGTCTGTTTCCTTCTCGAAAGCTGTTGATTCTCTTAGGGCAAGGCCCACGTGCCTTGCCTCTGTGTGCCCAGTGATGGTACATGCCTGGCACACAGCTGCTATTTAGCCGAGAGGAACTGAACTTACTAGGAGGGTTAGAGACCACAGTGGAACCCCAGAGAACCAGGATGGCTGCAGAGGAAGCCAGCCTGAATGAAAGTTAAACAGGAAATTCCAGCTAAGCTTAAAACCTGTGATTCTGAGAGGGGTTGAAAATCCTGAGCAACCTGCAAATGGGGCCAGCTGGAGTCTCCCGGGAGCCAGCAAGGGGACCAGAGGCTGTGGCCCCTACACAGGCACTGACAGTCAAACTTGAGAGCAGAAAGCTACACTCAATAAGCTCTTGGTTTTGGTTTTATTTGGTTTCCTGCTAAGCGTTCCATAGGAGGAGGAGATGAGGGAGGAAAGAATAGAAGAAGAGAGAAAAAGAGTGTGAGGAATGATTGTTCCTTTTCCTCACACAATCTGGAAAAGGGTGCTTTCTTTTCCAAATCGCCGTTAAAGGCATGTGGGCATCTCTGTGACCCTGGTGGCTGGATAAGCTGTTGCCGACCAAACCAGCTGCAAACCCCAAACACAAGAGTGCTGAGGGCAGACAGTGGGCAGAATCCCAGTGACCCATTTGGAGCCAAGCAAGGCCATCAGTGGGTGCTGCTGGATCCTCCCCAGTTGGCTAATTTCCTCACAGCTGCTTCCCTGATTTTTTGATGAGCAGTTGTTTTTATCTGATTTGCGCTGTCCTTCCCCATCATTATCAGGATGGGAGAATTTGCATTATTTTTCACGTTCTACTATGAATGACCCCCAGATGTAATTGGGAAATTGGGGCCAGGATCTGAAGCCATATGTATGTTCTCATATGACAGAACCCTAGCCATTCACATGTCCCCCTGATTCTAACCTCAAAGGTTCTATCCAAATGATGAGTTGCTAGAATCCAATGGCCTTTGAGTTAAAGGGATACTCCCTTTTATCAGCTCAAGGTCTCAAGCAATTTCTGCTAACTTCTGAGTCACTATGAGGGGAGCAGCTGTTCAGGCGCTGCCTGGTGTTTGGGGTCCACCCCGCACACCCCCATCGCCCTTGGCATTGGCCCCATTGATGGACGGTGGAGGTGGGAGCTCTATGGCAACAGTGGGGTGGAGAGGGGGAGATGAGTTCTGCCGCTGCCCATGTTCAGTCTGTTATGTGGGCAGAGTTCTGGGAACAAACTCAACCCAAGTTGTCAGCCTGGGGGTGGGTGAAGGACCAGCTGAGCGCTGCCTATGGCTTGTGACCTCAGGAAAGCAGTGATTTTACTACTCCTGCGGCCTCCTCCCTAGAGAATCATAACTATTTCAGAGCAGTAACTACTTTCTAGAAACTTCAAAAAAAAACCTTTACAGTACAAGACTACCCATAAGTTCTTTCTCAAGTCTAACTTGCACCCTTGCGCTGGAGCTAAAACTATATTTTGTCTGACCCTCACTAGAGAAGGTGCATCAGACACGATCACCTTCCAGAAAACTAAAGGTCTTCCAAGCCAATCTTCTCCAGAAAAATGAATTTGGATTCCTTAATCTTTCATCACAGCCTTATCATCAAAACTTTTCATTATTCTTCTCAATTATATCTTGAAGCTGTCTCCAAAATTTGCCTTTTGAGTTATGAAGATCATAACCTAATTAGATTTTGCATTTCCAGAGGCTACTCCTGGTGCATAAGGAAAAATAAATAAAATTTCAGTCCAATAGATTTCATTGGGGGAAGGGCCTAGAAAAATAGAAATTGGATCCTTTATATAAATAGCACATTGTACCACAAATGAGTTTTCCTTTTCCCAATTGTTTTTGAAACAATGGGTCTTGCTTTGGTGAATTTAATCCCTCAGAGATCCTAACCACTAAAGGGCCATGATTTGTGTTTATTTGTGGGTGGGTAGCTTCAGGATCTGAAAGAAAGCAAGATGTGTGGCCTCTGATGGTCTCAGAAGCAGTAAGGGGGAACAGGAATGGCAACCTGGCAGTAATTAAGCACGTTATCCAGGCGCGTGGGAATAGGGATGTGAGTGGGAAGTGTCTATGGTTCTAGCCTTTTCTGCCCCATTCGGTTTTGAGCAATTCAGATGAGGTTCTATGACTTCATCTTAGCTGCAAATTTTTTTAACCTGACCATTTGGAATTTGTGCTCAGATCTTCAGTGTGGGCATCATATCTTTCAGCTGTTGGGCAGTGCTACAGAACCTGGCCTTCACCCAGGCAGTACCTTAGCTAGACTGCTGTGATCGCCCTACTCCTACCCCTGGGATTCCCTCGTACAAGATGAAGTTGGGCTCACTTCTGATCTGACCCTCTGTGAGTCTAGCACATCAGCATTCCTGTTGCCCCGTAGAGGGACCAGGAAAAGGAAGGAGTTGGACTCAGCAGCCAAGTAGGAAAAGGATGCTTTAAGGACCATTTAACTAGAATTCCCTCCCATCTCTTCTGTTCCCTTCCCCCCAGCCCCAAAACCCTGAATCACTATAGTATAAAAGGGTGGGACTGAGCATTTATTGATAACCTCCAAGATGGCAGCTCCAAATCAAGGAACTGTCAATATACAACTCTTACTAAAGAGTGGATGTACTGGTATCCTCCACCACCACTGCCCCACCCACCCCGCCCACAGGCATCTCCATTCTCCAGGTCTTACCTGAAATGTCACTTCCTCGGTGGAGCCTGGCCCAGCCCAGTTTAGCAATCCTGTCCGATATCCCTATGGTTCCTCATGCTTTCCCTTCTTTGCACTTACCACCCATGTAATTAAATAATCAGCTACATAGTTCATACTTTCATGCCAGCTGGACTAAAAGCTCTGAGGACAGGAACCATATACTTCTTGGTTTTTATTAGATTCCTGGAACCTAGTCTAACTGATAAAATAATAAAGTATTGATTGAGTAGCCATAAGCATGTATGCATGACCGGATAGGCGAAGGGTAAAGCTGGATGCAAGCTTCCAGCCTCTCCACCTGTTTGCCCAGGCACCTGTGATAGCGCCCCCACTCCACCCCCAGACTTGGGGCTGTTCCTCCAGCAGTGGGTGTATAGTGGTGTGGCAGGGGTCATCCTCTCACCCAGTGCTCTGTGTTCCCAAAGATATGTATAATATAGCAGAGACCACGGATGTAGCCTGAGAGGAAGGTGGAGGTTGGATGTGGTGGGAGGAGGCACCGAACCGAACCAAATCAATTGTCCTCCTGGGCACTGAGCCCCACTTTCTAACACACTTTGCCACATTTTTTGGAAACACTTTATAGGGGATCTGGGTCAGGAAAAATAAGTGGGTGAGAAGGAAGGAAAAACAAAGGCATGACAACCTTTAGGGAAGCAAAAATAAAACACTAATGTGGAAACTACTGAAAATAGACTGCCTGGGCTGTGGGGCTGAAGGCAAATCCAATACTAATTACATGGAAATTAATCACTAGTCCTAACTTATACAGGCCTTGAATCTGACCCTGGGGGATCCCTGTTCAGGTATCTCCCCAACACCACCTGAAGGCTTCTCTAGTGCCCACTTCACACCCAATTCCTGCCACTGCAGTGGGAGAAGCCAATAAGAGGCTAAAAATACTAACAATAGAAATCTGATTTCTCCTTCCAGACAAAAAGCCTTGGCATCCACAGGAGGAAGAAGTGTTCAGGCGGCATGTGACTGGTTGGTATGAAATAAATAAATTGAGAAAATAGCATATAATTAACTCTAAGTGCATGTGGATGAGCAGAGATGTGCAGCCTTTCTCTCAGAGACCCTTCCAGGGGGCGCAGAGCCAAAAGATCACATGACAAGCCCATGCACAAGCCAGTTGCTTCCCCTGCCCCGGCCAGGCAGGCTTCTCCTTAGAGCTGTTGAAAGAAATCCAGAGCATTCCCAAGATAGCACCCCATAACAATACCCGCCCTACTCCAGTCACTTAAACGTACACTTGATGTGTGTGGGTGTTGGGCAAGTCAATTTAGAAGAAATCTTACTTCCAGGATGTCACTAGCCAGGGCAGCCCCCCTGGCGAGGTTTCCCTTGTCATTGGAGGCACAAGGGTTTAATCACAGGCTGAACTGAAGGGGCACACAGGGTTGGGACTGTAGTGGTGGACTGGGGAAGGACTTGGAGTTTATTGTAAAAATGCTCCCTCCTGGAGAGTGGCTTTAGGATTGTTTTTTTTTAAGATTTATTTTTATTTATGCATACAAGAACTGGGGTGTAGGCCAGAGGTGCTGGGGGTGAGAGGATTCACCAGAGACAGAGTGGGGAGCAGAACAGGCAGATCTACTGAACTACACTGCTGAGGGGAGCAGCGGCTGAGACAGGAGAGGTCTGCTGTGCCATGTGGGTTGCCTCCCTGGCCAGGGATCGAGCTCATGTGGCAGTGGCTGGCGATAGCTTGGTAGTGCTGATACTTTAACCCCTTTGCCATCAGCGAGGCCCGGCTTTAGAATTTTTTTAGGGAGTTATAAGGATGACTGCAGTCTGACAGGCAGAAGAGAAGTTGATGCATCTGAGAGTTGGCTACAAAGTGTGTGAGCTTCAAGGGTAGATTGTTAAAGTACAGATGTGAAATCCTTCCCCATCTATGGGGGGTAGGAGAGGTGGAGGGTGGATCTCTCTCTCTGGTCTTTCTTCCCTTCCCTTGTTCTCACACAAAGTTTTCTGGGCTTCCTTGTCCCCTGCAGGTTGTTCTCACACGTGGGCGACCCCTTCCTGGACGACCCGCTGCCCCGAGAGTACGTGCTCTACCTCCGCCCCACGGGACCCCTGGCCCAAAAGCTCTCCGACTTCTGGCAGCAATCAAAGCAGATCTGTGGGAAGAACAAGGCACACAACATCTTCCCCCACATCACCCTCTGCCAGTTCTTCATGGTGAGTCGCCATCCCAGGCCCCTGTTAGGGGTCAATGTGCAGGGCCCGGTGGGAATGGTCCGGGGCTCCAAGAGTCAGACTGGCCCTCAGGGGCTCAGAGGTCCTCTCAGCTCACCCACTGCTCTTCCTGTGGTCCGCTGAGGCCCAGGAGCACCAGGGTGGTGCCGTGGCCTGCAGCCCCGAGGGTCACATTGGTGCGGTGGCCACAGCAGGAACGAGACACCATCTCACTTCACCCACATCTGTGGTCCACTTTTCCACTCTCAAAGAAAGAATGGAAACTAGCGAGCTGAGAACAAGAAACCCAGTCTACAGACAGGGAAGGCGACATCAGCCACACGAACACCGTCAAGGTTGAGCTCACGAGCTCTTTCTAGAGACGGAGGAGGCGCCTTTCTGCTGTAGGTACCTGGCCCACTTCTAGCCGCCATGAGGCTTATTTAAGCACTACATTAAAACCCCCTCACTATAATTAATGTAAATACATTTCATCTATTTTAGGTCTCTGTAGAGGCCCAGGTGTATTCAAGATGAGGCAGAACGGTAGCATTTTAAGACAATCTCTTTTTTAAATATTTTGGGTGGTTGTTTTTCAGATTCTCTCTCGCTTTCCTTTTAGGTAAAAATATGTTCCTAACACCTTCTTTTTACCATTCACTCTGCAAATTAAGATGATTATCACTTCCTCTTACTCATCCCAGGATCCTTCTCAAAGACAGTCAGAGTTTGAGAGACACTCATTCTCTCTCCAAGCTCTGGAGCGGGTAGGAGGAGGCTGTCACTGCTCAGAGCTTCATTCTTCCCAACCACCATGGGGGTGGACGCAGAGCAAGTTTTGATCATCTAAGTGGAAGACAAAAAGGCTCAGATGATGCGAAACAGTGGGAAACACACAGCAACTTCTCCTGGGGTGTCTTGTGCTCCCCCATGTTCTCTTGACCCTGAACAGGACCGCCTGGCATATCAGAGCAGGCAGGGGGTGGGGAGTCTGCAGTCCTCTCTCCTCATAGGCAGAAGTGGTGGGTCAGTCATGACATCGCAGCCTCCTGCCCTGGACTCCAGGTGCCAAATGCCAAGGAGCAGCACACGCCTGGCTCCCCTGGTCTCTGAATGGAGCCTCTTATTTCCCTGCCAGTGTGAAGACAGCAAGGTGGACGCCCTGGGGGAAGTCCTGCAGACCACCGTCAGTCGCTGGAAGTGTAAGTTCTCGGCCCCACTTCCCCTGGAGCTCTATACCTCCTCCAACTTCATCGGCCTCTTTGTGAAGGAGGACAGTGCCGAGGTCCTCAAGAAGTTTGCTGCTGACTTTGCTGCGGAGGCTGCATCCAAAACCGGTGAGCAGAGCTGTCCGACCAGCCTGGGTCCTGCTCATCAAAATGCTGGGAAGGAAAGGGATGGGGAAGGATCTTAGAAGTGGGGTGGAGTCGGAGGGGCAGGGTCCTGCAGGAGGGTGGAACATAAAGAAACCGCTGCTCCTGCATGAGTCCTTGTCCTTGCAAAAAATAGGACGCTACTGCTTTGCTCACCTTCTGGAGAGACGCCCAGTGCCTGCTCCCCAACACCCAGGTTGAAAGGACACACATCACTGCTCCACATTGAACATAAACCTGTTCCTTTCTAGCACCACCATCTCCTTCCAGTTCAGAATTCAGAAGCCTGCCTGCTTCCTCGCAAACCTCCTCCTCTGCGGGCATTTAGCTGGGTGTCTCTCCATTTACTCTGTGAGGGGTGGCCAGTGCAGAGAGCAGAGTAGAAGCATGTAGTATCAAATAGTAAAATTCATTGAGCCCATCAATGCTCTTCAACCTGCTGGAACCCACAGAAGACCCCCACACCTGCGAGCTCAGGACAGAATCCAGAGGCAAATGCATAGCTGGAGACCCCAGGTTGCCCCCTACCCCAGCCCATCGTGTAGAGTACCACGGGGCAAGAGCCAAGTAAAGCCATACTCTTTCCTTTTAGTCTCCTGACTTAGGCCGGTAGGTCACCTGCCCGTGTTCCTGGGTGCTGTTTCCAGCCCCATCTTGGGCCCTGGTGCTCATTTTCTTCTTTATCAGGACAGTCCCCAGCCCCAGTCAGGGCTGGGGACCTTCTGGGGAGCCTGTGATCGGGGCCCAGCATCAGGGAGCAGCTTGCAGCTAGGTCTCCACTTAAGAGACACTGCCTCTTTTTCAGACCATGCCTCCCCAGACACCCCTTTCTCTCCAGGACTAGGCTCCACCCTGACTTTGTTAGGAGCCTAATATTTCAGAGAAATGGCATAATAGAGAGGCAAAGTATTTCTTGTTCCCATCTCTCTACTCAGGAAAATGTCTCCGTTTCATCCCACGGTAGCTATTGTCAAAGCCACTAAACCTCCCACAAGAACCAAAACTAATGTTGCAGCCACAAAACCCAAATCCTTCACAACTGAGTAAAGAAGATCTCAGCCAGGATTGTGGCTGATATGTATTTTTTTTTTTTTTTTGGCTTCCCCATCTATTTTTTTTCCCCTTTCAAAACTGTATTGATTTGCCATTCATTTACAAAAATGTTTGAGAGTCCAACTTCATTCCTCAACATGAGCACATGCTTCCTGGAAAAGCGCATATTGTGGTTCTTGCTGGCTTTCCTTATAGGAAAGGGCAGAGCCAGTTCAAGAACACACAGTCAATTTACCAACTTGTGGCTGTGCCCTGGTGGCGCCCCCTGGTGGTGATTTGGAGAACTGGGTGGCCCTGCCCCCTGTTGCTGGCCGGTCCTCAGGTCTTTTCCCTAGAACTTAAGTCTTGGTATTTAGAGTTTTTGACACCTCTGACTCCTTTAAGTAGATTTAGTGTCATCCTCCTCGCTAGGTGGCTAAGGCAATATGTTGATGTGTATCTGTTATTTAACAAGGCTCTGGTACAAGATGCACAGCCCTCATCTTGTGGGGTTTATACCAAAGAAATGCAATGCTGTGTGATAAAGTACTCAGATCCAAAGAGGCAACTTATACTTCTGTGTGTCTTGAGCTGGCCCCTTCACTCTTCAATTCCCTAGATACCTTCTAGTTGCATCTTTTTCAGTTCTAGCTCAAACCTTAAATGCATCTCCCCAAATTAATGAAGTATGAAAGAGAGGTAAAACTCCTCCAACATGTAAGTAGGATGGCTGGTTTTGTTTGTTATGAAGCCTTAGAAACAGTCTGCATACTTGAAGCCAATAGTCCTCAACTAGGGGTGATTTTGCACCCCCTAGGGCATTTGGCAAGTCATTTTTGATTGTTGCAAATGGAGGGGGCGTTTTCCTGGCATCTAGTGGTAGAGAACTGGGGTGCTGCTAAAAACTCCATCATTCACAGATCTGTACCCCCAAACAAGAATCATTTGACCCAAAATGCTATTGGGAAATCCTGTCCTAAACTTTGAAAGTACTCCATCTTTCCCCTCATTTCTCCATCAGAGTCACCCAGAAGCTGAGAGACTTGATTTCAAAACAAAGGCAATAGAACTTTTGGAGTCATGCAATTATGATTTCTGTTCTTTATTTCTATATAAGTTATCACATCCTGATAGGTCTCAGTTTCCTCATCTGCATGGTGGGATTGGTAATTAATTGGAGTTGCTATGAGGAGGAGCCAACCATGATTGCCTCGCAACAAATCCAAAGGTCCCACAGGAAAGCCATGGATAAAAGCTGCATGATTATCTCATACGTGGTGTGTGGATTCAGCATCTATTGCCCTCTTGCCTTCTGCCAGTGGAGGAGAGGAACAGCTTTGGGTGACAGAGGGTCTTCCTTCTTAGCTGGAAAGCAGAATTTATCAGGGCACCTTTCTATTTCCTAAGTCTTCATCATTGCTTTTATGACCACATCCTAGTAACTGACCTTTCCTTACTCTTTCCAGAAGTACATGTGGAACCTCATAAGAAGCAGCTGCATGTGACACTGGCTTACCACTTCCAAGCGAGTCACCTACCCACCCTGGAGAAACTAGCCCAGAACATTGATGTCAAACTTGGGTGCGACTGGGTGGCCACCATATTCTCGCGGGACATCCGATTTGCTAACCACGAGGTAGGCCTCACTGTCACTCCTGACTTCCTGGGTGCAATCAGAATTAGGAGCACTTGATGCTCGCTGCTGCAGAGAAATGGGCACCAGAGGCAAGCAAAGCAGTGAGTGCAGACCAGGAGTCCACTGGCCTGGGATCTTGCCCAGACTCTGCCCAACTCACCGGGAGGCTGCGAGCTTGTAACCCTCCATCTTGAGTTCCAAGTGGCTCATGTGTATAACATACCTATCGTTTTCTCTATCCTGCCAGTCTTGCTAGAAGGAGATAGAGATGAAACGGGAGAATAGAGAGGAAAACTATGTTGGAAAATTTTCAAATATTAGATCAGTTCATGGTTTGACAGATGATGTTATCCTGATCTTAGGTGAGGAGAGCACATTGATAGAAAAATCTGAAATCACATGATCTACATGCTTGGTGAATGTCATGCTAGGTATGTGGGAATGTTCTAGAATCTTAAGGAACTTTGATCCAGCAGGGGAGGGAGAACAATTGAAGCACATGGTAAGTGTTTGTGGCATTGCAGGGACTCACTGAGTTCTGGGCAGGTAAGAAGACCAGCACAGTCCTTGCCTCTTTCTCTTGAGGGAATCAGCATTGCTTTCTAGGACAACCTCATGCCATCTCTGAAGAGTAACACTGTCTCTTTTTTCCTGAAGCAGAAGCTGAGACAGGTTTAGTGGTTGGCCCAAAGCGAACTAGCAATTTAGGCCCAGAGCTAAAGCCAGTGCCTGGGGATTCTGACCAGTGAAAGTGGTTAATCCTTCTTTAAAAAAAAAAAGAAAAAGAAAGAAAAAACACTTAGTTTGAAGGATTAGTCATCCACTTAACTTTATTTATTGAACAATACTTAGTTCTTTAACTGACATTGACATTGTTGTTAGTTTACAGTCTTAACATCTTTTATAGACATTTTATTTCAATGTGAGCTACAGAAGCTTGGGTTCTGGAAGAGGCAGCCTGGTCATTGTTTTGTAAGTGCCAGGAAGAGCTGACTGTGACAAAGCTCCAGGCCTGGGCATGTGGTCCGTGTGGCAGGGACATGCAGGCTTGGCCTGACTCTGCTGCGAATGTCATGTCCTTCTGAGTCATTTGATGCATGTTTCTGTAAAGACACTAGGAGACTGGGTCTAAACTTATGAATTCTGACACCTCCTGGAATTGCTTAGTCTTACAGGTAACGAGAGAGGTCTGGCCAATAGGATTTCTTTGGAGGGCAAAGAAAAAGTCAAGGGTTGCATGCAGAGGAACTGTCAGAAGTCACCTTTCCAAGGGAAGGAGGTGGCAGTGGAATTTTACAAGGAATATCTTCTAATCAACACTGCCCTCCAGTTAACACAAAGGGTAATTGCTTTTCTGCCTGACCCACATTCTGTTCAATTGGCACTGAGGGAAAGAGGCAGCCAGTGCCCACAATGAATTATTTTCTAAAAATAACTTGGCCTCTTTTATCTTGTATTTGTAAAAGCTCATTTATACTGTTCCTTCTGATAACTCACCTCAGCCCCTTTAACAGAGACCTCCCCTCTGCGGTCATTTGGCTTTGCCCAAGCCCCCCTGCACAGGTAAGTCTCATCTTGCCTGCCTTCTCCCTCAGTCTGCCCCTAGGAGGCAGGTCTGGCTGATTGCTGTAATGAGGTGACAGATGTCCAGAGAAGGGAAGAGGCAAGGACACACAGCAAGGCACAGTGCTGCTCAGGAAAAAGCCCAGGCCTCACCTCTCCACTGTGAGATCTTGACTTAATTGGGACTCACAGGTGCCTATTAGCACTTCACACGGTCTCTTCCACTTATAAAACTGGCACAGCCCCATGCGATTTCTATGACAATCAGTAGAAATCTAAAGGATGGAGTTACACAAAGAGCATACATTTTAGAATCTGGCACCCATGGCCTCAGATTCTTTGCTCCAGCACTTTTGCAGTGATCAGAGGCATGTTTACAATGCTCTACCTGTCCTTGGTTTTCTCATGAGTAAAGTAGTTATGATCTCTTGCTGGGCTAGATAAAAGGGTGCATGGAAAGACCCAAACATAAAACCCAGTACAGAGTGGGTGCGTCGCCACAAATCTTGTTACTAAGAGTAAAAAGGGTGTTGGAAGCCACGAGGCTCAGTCCCTCTTATCACATCGAACTGCCACTGCCCTTCCCAAGGTGTCAGCCGGGAAACTGAGTGTGGTGCCCACGCAGGAAGGGAGAAAAGCATACTAGAGATAGACTCAAGAAGATACTAAACAGCAAACAGCAGAGTTAAAGAAATACAGTGCAAAGCTATGCATGTGTCCTGAGAACTCATGTGTAGGTGAGTGGGGGAAAAAAGTTGCAGGGACACAGGCAGCAGGTCTGGTTTTGGGTTTGCTGCAGTACCCTAATTCTCATATTTCTTGGTGAGTCAGGTGTGTGTTGTCCAGCCTCTCTGCTGGGCCTCCGTAGTCCTGGGGCTACAATTCTCTCCCTGTGATAGGGAGGATGAGCTGTCCCTGAAGCCGCTTGGAGTGTCTCATAGGAAAAGCTTCATTTGCCCAGACTCTGCTGTGCCTGAGTGTCTAAGGGGCACAAGTTCAGACTCACTCACCTTGAAGCGGTGCTTCCCTCCACCCTGTTCCAGGAATAGGGGTGTTCCTTTTGGTGGATCATGACATACGTAGCTTTGAGATTTAAGAGATTCCTCGTGAATCTTTGAGCTGTTTTAACAACCCAGCAGAACACCTTTCTGTTTAGCTTGGGAAACTGGTTTGAGTATTTGTAGGCAGGGGAGAGGGGAAGGGGTAGGCAGAGAGGGAGAAGATCTGGAGCTGAAAGATGTTAAGTAAAATTAAGAAGAAACAGTACTGCCCTCAATAAAAGGAAAATCGGAAATCTAGTGGCATAATCAAGCTCTATGTATTATCACTTTTAATCCTCTGGGAAAAACCCCATTTAACTGTTTCCTTTCATTAGAGCCTTCCAGAAGGAAATTTCTTTCCCTGGAAAAGTTTCTGATGTGTAACCTTGATACCAGTGAGCTGATTAGTATATAGACCTACCAGCTCAGGGTCAGCTAGAAGGGAAATTGGGAGTCATGGTGCACCACAATGAATTGTGCCCCTTTTGTATACAAGGCTTTGTCCTAAGGACTCTTCTAAGATCGTCTCATTTAACTTTTATAGTCCTGTAAAATAATACTTGATGTGGAAACCGAAGCTAAATAAAATTAGAAACCTGAATGTGGGACCTAGAATGGCTAGCCTGCTCTGGTGCCTTGAGGCTTGTAGGAAAATCTGTGAAAATGGCTCTATCTTTGTGTGTAAAACAAATAGGAAACATTTTCCTTATTACTGAGGTCGCCTGCTATTGTTTTCCAAAGTATCTTCAGGCTGTGATATTTATTTATACCAGGAAAGGAGACCCAAAAAAGTGGAATCAATCAGCATGGGCTGTGGTTAGTCCTGGGGGCTTTTCTGAACCCAGAAAAGGGAACACATGTTCTCCATCTGGGCAGTGATGAAAGCCTGTTACACCCTGACATACACGCTGATGACCATGAAAGATGATTTTCTTTCAAGGTCGCTGTTGAAAATGTGGGTTTAAAGAAACTCCTTGAAGACAGTGACCACATCTCTTTCAAGAAGCTGAGTTGCATAAAGGGGAATGCTACATTCCCACATTCTCCCTAGAGGCCAGTCGGCCCATTGGTAACCCCCAAATGGATGACTGGCTATCCCACAAGCTGGATTCCAAGTGTTTCTGGTGGTGCCTACCTGGTGGAGCAGGGAAGACCAGGTCCAACACATGAAGCCAGTGGTTTACCAGACAGCTGTGGCTTTTCAGATGAACTTCTCAAAATTGTATCTTATTCCTGAGGGGAAGAAAGGACACGCCTGAAGGAAGGTCTGGAACCATCCAGTAGGGCCAGGCCCCACCCATAATACCCTGAAAGAACAACGCTTTCTGATCTGCCTCCAAAACTATGCAGCACCTGCAGTCCCTGGAGCCTCCTGTAAACTTCACATCTGGATGTGGATGCTATTAAATAGATGTGCCCCAGGGGCACGCCGAAGAATGGGTCACATGTGGGCCTCACCCATCCCCCTCTTTTTCAGACATTGCAGGTGATCTACCCTTACACCCCACAGAATGACGATGAGCTGGAGCTGGTGCCTGGGGACTTCATCTTCATGTCTCCGATGGAGCAGACCAGTACCAGCGAGGGCTGGATCTACGGCACCTCCCTGACCACTGGCTGCTCTGGGCTCCTGCCTGAGAACTACATCACCAAGGCTGATGAATGCAGCACCTGGATATTTCATGGGTAAGCAGACCCTCAATTCTTTGCTGCTGCTTTTTGAAGAACTTGTGATGGCAGAGCTTGAGGAGGTGACAGGGCAGTAGTCACAGCGATGGAGAAAAGTAAGCTGGGTTGTTTCCAAGCTGTCAGGAGGGGGCTGACTTGGGGCTTGAGAGCAAGGAGAGACAACTTGCCCTGCTTTACTCTGCCTGCCCCATTTGATGCAACTGTCTGAGTTTCTGGTCGGATACCAAACCAAGGCTGCTCGGCCCACCCCAGCACTGTTTTGGGGCTTCAGGGGTCTAGTCCCACAGCAGCTGGGCAGATCCCCACTATGCCAGCAGGACTAGTCGTAAAGGACTTGATAGGGTCAGGAGACTAGACTGCCCCTCCTATGCCGGGTGGCCCTAGGAAGTGTCAGAGCTGACACACATGCCCAGATGACAGACTGCATGTAAGGAAATAGGCAGCACCCACAAGAGCTCTTCCCTGGGTGATGAGGGTCACCCACCCATCCCTCAGTACTGCTTGGTCCCTGTGTTCTATGGCCACCCTTCTTCAGAGAGAGAAACAAGAACAACAGTACCTTCTCTCTCTTCCACTGAGAATTTCTAAGCCAGACCTTCCCTGGTGCACGCAGCCATCTGGTTCTTGCCATGTGCAGCATGGCTGGGAGCCAAGGGCACCGAGCACCATCGGCGTGGGGTCTAAACGTCATTATTACCTCCACAAGAGATGCAGAGAGGGGCATGTTCGGTGAGTGTTTTGCCTGGAGGGAGAAAAGGAAAGATAGTCCCCGCCCCTAGTTAGCAGCAAGCAGACCACAAACCCAAGGATGGGAAAGAAAAAGTTCTTCCTCAATAGTCCCTCCCCAGCCTTTCTGTCCTCCTCCTCAGCCTCCATCCACCCAGTGCACCTGCCATTTTGTAGCACAGGGTGGAGGGTCAAACCTGCCGCATGTTCCCCCCAAACATTTTCAGAAATGCTTCTGAACATCAACATAAGTTGGGTTTTCAAAAATCACCATTTTATCCCTATAAAAATAAGGCAAAATATATGTGAATAAACTGAGAGTGGAAAGATGATACACAGCTCCCAGATTACTCTCTTAAAAGTAGGGCTGTGACCAGGAAAGAGTAGATGTGATCAGCCCTGTCACCCCAGCCAAACCCACTGGTGCCTAAATTAGAGCGCAGGCTGGAACAGGGGTGAGTGAGTGACCTAAGTCACACAACACTGGAAGGGCTAGTAAATGCTATTTTCCTGGGAACTGTCTGAAATTGGCACCAGCTTCTGCAGTCAACCCTGCGAAATGTGGGGAAATACGTTAGGTCTTACGATGTTGCGATTAATAATATGAGTCCTTATTTCAAAAGTCTTGGATTTAAGTCCTAATGCGCCAGTTGTGTGACCTTGGCCTATGTTACCTCTTAGCTTCTATTTGCTAATTTATAAAATGGAGATAATAATTGCACTTGCCTCAGAGGGGAGGTGTGGTGTGAGGCTGCAGTGGGAACTCAGAACAGCGCTGGACCCCAGGTAGCCATCAGCCTTAGGATCATTCTTTTTACCCCTAATGTCTTGTTTCCCAGTCCTCTTACATGCTTGTCAAATCAAATGTCTCTGCCACAAAAGTGATCCTATAGAAGAACTTTGCTTTTCTGTTTAACGCCAGAGGTGGAAGACAGGCCTTCCCTCACCGGAGTTACACACTCCTCACAGGGGCATGTAAACATGACCTGGACACCTTGATGGGAAGTTGGGAATTCAAGTAACAGTGGTCCTTCACAGCCCTTCCAACCCTGTCCTTTTCAGTTCTGAGTCCGCCCCCCTCACCCCAATACCCTCATTAGTGTCTTGCCTGGTTCTGAGTATCTCCAGATATTTGTCCATTGGTGAAGCTCTGGTGTCCTCCTACCTGGGGTGAGCTGATCTTCCTGGGCTTGCGTGCAGGCCTGGAGTACCCCAGCAAAGACCACCATCTCCCGGGTGCTGGTGTTCTTGGTGTCAGCTCAGCCTTCTTTCTAGCCTACCCTCAGCATCTGACTATTGTCACTGAAGCTCACAGCCCCAAACTCGCAGGGTGAGTCAGATCCTTTGGTTACGATGACAGTCAAGGAGGAAGGAGGCTGGCGCTGTCCTTGCCAAGCAAGCTGAAGGGGAGACAGGGATGCTGTCAGTGCCTTCACAGCTGCAATAAAGAAATTAAGGGACATGCACAAGCAAGATGTCAGGGCGGCTGCGTGCAGCTGGACGTTTCAGGCCCTGAAGCTTTCATGAATCAGACAGTGAAACCAGGTTTTCCTTAACTGTAATGTTCAGGAGGGTCTTGATTAAAAACAAGGAACGGCTGTTCTCTTTACCTGTGTGAACAGCACAAAATCTCCCTGGGCTATAAGGGCTTAAACTTAGTCTCTTGGCTGCTATTTCATACTTACTTATGAGGTCTTGTTAGCATTCAGGAAGACCCTGGAACCTCGGTTTATGTTTGTGGAGAGCAGGGCCACAGCAGCTCTCCTGGGATGCTGAGGGCACAAGGGCTAAATCTTCCCTTTTCCAGAATTGAGGCTTCTGAGACCTTAGCTTATAAGTAGGATCAGTATCTTTACAGTCAAAAAGGAATGCTTCTAAGAGAGGGGTGCTAAAATAATTAAAATTGTGTTTTTTCATATTTTTTCAAAGATCTTTTGTAACAACCAATCAGCTGTATTATACTGGGGACTATAAAGGTTCTTTTAAAAAAATAAAATTCAAGGAAGCATACTATATTAAGTAATCCAGAACAGATGCTAACCTGAACAGATTGCTGGGTCAGTAGTCACAAACCAGGACGCTCCTGGGCAAGTTGGGGTATCTGGCTACCTAGTTGAAAACAAGCAGGAAATCTAAAATCTCAGTGCCCTCCCTTGGCCCAGCCCAGGGATCAGAAGGTGTTGATTGGACATGCCTAATAACCACATTTAAGTTGAGATGCTTATTAGATAAAATTTACTAATCAAAATAATTTAAATACCACATGATTTGACTGCCTTCCCTTCAGCAAGACCTTTTTAGGGTTTCTGTAATTAGTGTTATACCCAGATCAGAGTTTTTGGCATCTGGCTTCACATCTGGTAAAAACGGTCTCCTCTGAAATAGTTCCATATTTCATCTCGTGGAAGGTGTTATTGAGACATGGATGAGGTTTGAGACTGAAGAAGGTAAAATAGGATATAGTAGCCATGGGGTTTCCTTGATCATTAGATTCCCCAGGCAAAGGGGTGGAGAGAGAAAAACAAATCAAAACACACAACATGTGATTCATCAGTTCAGATGGAACTCACCATGGAAAAGACTGAAGGCAACAGGAACTGCTTTGCTTTTGAGTCACTGAAATTACTGGAAACCGTGATATAAAATTGATTCCTCATTTTTCTTTAACATGCCTTTGGTACCAACTCTGCCTGTGGCATCCTACTAAGTGCAAGATCATTGGGCCCCTTCGCCAGTGAATGTGTGTGTGTTCCAAGTATGAAAATCCATCCACCCATAATTTATTGACTGCAAGTTGCTCCTTCTCTAATGGGGTCCCCCTACTCAGTTGTCCAGCCAGTGACCCGCCTAGAGGCGTTGCTTACTGGGCCGCAAAATGAAGTACTGATGACTCCTGGCTAAGGCAGTGACCATCTTCCTCCTTCCCCCCTGTAGCTCTTACTCCATCCTGAATACATCGTCTTCCAGCACGCTCCCTTTTGGTGATGGGGTGTTGGAGAGGCGGCAGTATGAGGACCAGAGCCTGGGAGAAACAACACCCCTGACCATCATCTGCCAGCCCACGCAGGTAAGAAAGACCCTAGGGACACATCCTTAACTCCACTCAGTATTTGCCAAGCACCCATTTAGTAAGCAGGAGGCCTTGCCCTTGCTGCTTCCTCAAAAGATCCCCGATCTCCCAAGGACAGAGGGCATAAAATTTTAAAAATACACAAAGATTCTTTTAAAATACACAAAGATTCAAGGCTCAGAAGAATCAGATGAATGGTCCTGTCAGTGGTGACAGGCATTTAGGTCCAGGCTGGTTAGGAAGGCTGTGGTCTGCAGATGAGAGAGTAGGGCTTCTCTGCCTGGTACCTGGCACACACGAGTGCTCACAGTATGTTAGGATTCTCCATGAAGCCAGATAGGTTGCAGAATGGAGGGGTTGGGGTGTGGGGGAAAGTCCTTGTTGATGGCACAAAGTCAAAGAGTTCAAGGATATTGAAGACCAGGAGAGCAGACTACTTTGGCACAGCAGGGAAGAGACCCTGCATCCCACACCCAGCAGGCCCTAGGAAGACATGGGTTTAGACCACGTGGACCACTCACACGCAGATTTCTTTCAGTAAGTACATTAGGCCCCCCATGTCTGTGAGTTTTGCACAACATGCCAGGCTGTATATAGAGCTGGCTGGGAGGTACTTGAGCACCCTCAGATTTTGGTGCTGGAGGGTAGTCCTGAAACCAGTCCCTTGTGGATGCCAAGGGGAAACTGTCGTTAAGTTTGGGGGCAGTCAAAGTTACATGTGGATTTTTGACAGTATGGGGTGGGAAGTTGGTCAAGGATCAACTGTATTACCCTCATTGGGGCGAAATGTAAAGAGCTGGTGAACAGAGCTAGCAGCACTGAGGACAGCTGGAACAGCAGAGCCACCAGAAAGAAAGGATGCAGAAAGAGCTAGCAGGACTGCCCGGCAGCTATAGAACAATGGGTGCTTGGACATGCCTTTGACTAGACTTGCCTCTTTCATCACCCAGGAGTAGCAACTGTCCTCCCTGAGGCATTTCTGGGAATGCAGTGGAGCCTAGATTGTGACCAGAGAGGGAAATGCAGGGTATTGTTGCTGAGCAGACCCTGGGACCCCACATTAGAGATGAGGCAGACATACTTGTGATAACAGAAGTCCTCACTCCCTGGAGAAGTGGACAGTGGAGGAAACTGTCCTACAGATGCCTTTCTCTCCATAATGGATAGTTTCACCTCCAAGCTGCAAATCAGGTGCAGTGATTTACTACTGGCAAAATGTTGCTCCTCCTAACAGCAAGGGGAGCGATGATAATGCCTTAGTCATATCCCTAATCTGTCAAACACCTGGTGTTCATCTGAGCCTAAATACCTTGTGAGGTTCTATACAACAAATCTTATGACCTCTACTGTATAGACAAGCCAACCAAAATCCAAGGCATTTAAGGGGCTTACCCAAGTTATATCCTGGCAGAACTTGTTCTAGAGCTCAGGGTTACATCTGCTTTCCTACATGCTTCCCACTGACGGCCTTTCTTTCTCTGCAGCCTCTGAGGGTCAGCGGCCAACCCGGCCCTCAAAGGCGATGCCTCTTCGTGTGTCGGCACGGCGAGAGGATGGATGTTGTGTTTGGCAAGTACTGGCTGTCCCAGTGCTTCGATGCCAAAGGTGGGTAGTCCATTGACCTACTTGGCATACCTGTCATGGCCTCTAGGGGGCACAGTCAAGCTACACTTATCTAAATGGAGTCATCTACAGTTACATGTGCTGTAGAAAATGCCTATCATCTATTATATCGTAGGTCTGCCCTATTGTATGGACTTACAGGGAAGAGATAAGTATTCTTGTCCCCATTCTATAAACAGGGACAACAGAGAAGGCAGACGTTTTGCCCTCAGTCAAATGGCAGAGGCAGAGACAGATGTCCTGATTCCATGGCCGGAGTTCCCTGTGTTAAGTCAACACAGACTCATTTTTGTTCCATTTTCATTTGAGTGGCCTATTTAAGATAGAAGCTTCCATATCAGAGACTCCTGCCTGCTTTAGATTGCCTGGTGGTTACTTTCATTTGAAAACTACCTCTTGTCACCTGAATGGAAGGATGGATTCCCAGCCACTACCAGAGGGAGAGTCTCAGCCTCCATGGTTCCCATCCACTCTGGAGAGTTTGAGCAAGAGAAAAGTGGCAGAGCTGGCAGGACCCACAACAGAAGTCCTAAGGACACAAACAGCTCACACAGCCTCCTCTGACTTCTCCCTCCCCCGCAGGCCGCTACATACGCACCAACCTAAACATGCCTCACAGCTTACCTCAGCGGAGCGGTGGATTCCGGGATTACGAGAAAGATGCCCCGATCACCGTGTTCGGATGTATGCAAGCAAGACTCGTGGGTATGTGCCCCGGAGGGCGTCCTGGCTGCTTTTTCAAGTCTGCTCTTGGGGATGGGATGCAGGACATGTGGGGTTTCTGTAACTTTCTCACAGTCAGCATATTTCCTTGACTCAAAGGGGCTTTATCATTAAATTCAGCCTATTTGGCACTTCAGTTTGCCAAAGTGAGTAAGAGGTGTTCCCTGTTGGGAGGCAGGTGGCCTATTGATGGGGCAAGGTCAGGCTTGGTCTACGTCACTGGGGTGGCACATAGGTCTGTCTCTGTGCGAGGCTGAGGAGGAGGGAAACTGAAGGCATATAGCCAGTTGGCCCTCTGAAGATGCTCAGCTCTGATTTGCAGAGACATGGTCCACACCTGCCACCCAGGGACGTAGCCTTTTCCATCACTTAACACATATATTGGGTTGTTGGAAAAGTCATGACTCATTTTTGCTTGAAAAACAGAAAAGATATGACATGACTTTTCTGGCAACACAATAGATGGTTCACTTGATTAAAGGTACTGTGCCAGGTGTTTGGGATCTGAGCTTGAGTCCCCACCCTCAGAGAAATAAATGTACACGTGAGTAAATACCATACACTACAGTACACTCGGAATATTAGGGAGCACTGATAGAAAGATGGGTAAGCTCACACCTGACGTGGAGGTCAGAGTGACAAAGAAGAGGCAGAAGAGTAGGAAGGAACAAAATAAAACCTGAGATGTGAGAATCGGCGCCGATAGCACAGGGGAAACAAGCTGTCTTGTAGCTAGAGCACAGATTGTGGGCAGGAAAGAGAAGCATGGCCAATATATTAAGGTTTGCGGACATGATGCTGTAGAGAAAAAATGGACTCCATGAGGAAAGCGGTGAAGTGGTGTGAGGATTTACCTTGTGCTCAAGAACATGACAGGGGAGGATTTTGGTTGAGCACAGAATGAAATTTAAACCAGTTCTGATTTTCACGATGTAAAACCGCAGTGTTATCACATACTTGAAGTCAGAGCATTATCACATTTCTAGGCACCTCTTAATGAACACTTCACCACTGTTAGCACTAGAGAACGGGAAAGGAAAAGACAAGAAGGGGTCTGTCACTTGCCCTACTCATAGAAACACTGGGCAGGGGCAATGTTGGAAAAAAGCCTGAAGCTATCAGCTCTACCTCAGCTCCCACTGGGAAAGGGAAGAGATTTGCAGGACCTGCCACACTGAGGGTGCGGCTGAGCCTGAGCAAAGCCATCAGATGGATTTTTCCTGGGGTCTCTTTGCAGGTGAAGCCTTATTAGAGAGCAAGACCATCATCGACCACGTCTACTGCTCCCCGTCCCTGCGCTGTGTCCAGACCGCGTACCACATCTTAAAAGGTAAGACCCGCCAAAGGTCAGCTGGCCTATCCCGCTTCCTCCAGGCAGCTCTGCCCCCACATTATCCTAGACCGGTGAATTCACTAATCAAAAGCTGTGAGTTTGGAATTTGTAGCAACAGTTCTTTTGGCAGATGACTTTGCAGAAATCCCCAAATCAAACTCTGGCAGCAGAAGTGAGATAAAAGGAAGTACACAAATAATGTTTCTCTTGAAAGCTAAAGCTCTCATGGATGAATTGTCAGCTTGTAAAATATTGTTGTCTGGTGATAATTTAGAGCTTACTGATCCTTTCGTGAAATAGTTTCCGCCCACTGTGCTCTGTTTGCCTCTTGCTGACAGCAGCAGTGATGCTTCAGGTGTCTGCAATCTTAGGTACCCTTATTTTTGTTATTGTAAGTTGGAATGACTTTAAAAGATATTCAACTTTCACTTGAAAATGGTGGAAGCTTGAGGAACAGGGATCTCCACTCATTTCACTGTTAGAAACTAGAAGAAAAGGACTGGAATGTTTACTTATACCAAAACAAAGAATGAGCCAGAAAGAACAGTCAACAAAGAATTCACACTATGTATGAGACTTCTCTTTGCTAGCCTAAGGAAACTAGCTTGCATTTACATATTAAAATGCATTAGATATTAAATTTGCACAGGAAAAAAAATGGCTAAACATGAAATTAAATGGGCAAATTCTACTAAGGATAATTATGCTGTGAGAAAGCACCTGCCTTGTGCATTGGCACATGTGAACACTCAATGCTGGGTTTTCTGATAAAGTGAATATATTATACTCAAAGATTATGTAAGCCACCAAATTGTAGGATATGCTAAGAGAACTTCTGGAGTTTCTTGGGAAAACAATCTTGGGATTTAATTTAGGAAAAAGAATTCTAGTAGTCACAGAAGTGTATAATTTATGGGAAAAGACTTGTTTTTTTCTTCAAAGCCAATACCACTTAAAGCTGGTCTATCTCCTAGGGGTAGACCAGGGTACGAAACTCATGTGTTTATTGACGTTTTTACCTTCTTTTAACTCTATAGGCAAAAGAATAGAAGGTTTACCAGCATTTTGGTAACAGTTCGGCCAAGCAAATTCCACAGAGGACAGAGTGCTGCTTCCCTCATTTTCATTTTGTTTTACCTCTAAGGTTTACAAAAAGAAAATCACTTGAAGATCCGTGTAGAACCTGGCTTATTTGAGTGGACCAAATGGGTTGCTGGGAACACATTACCTGCATGGATACCTCCGTCGGAGTTAGCTGCGGCCAACCTTAGTGTTGATACAACCTACAGGTAACTTAAAACCACTGCTTTTGAGGCCAATTAAGGAGCTAAAGGACCAGATGTGGCTGACAGGCAGCTCTCTGGGCTGGTGGAAGTTGTGATTTGAGAAACTGGAGGAAAAAACTAGCATTCTCTTATAGTTAACACGGAGTTATGTCCTGTCCCTCCTCCTTTTTCCCCCACCCCTTCCATGAGTTTCTGGAAATAATAAAACCACTTTCATAATAAGAGTAATCACGACCAAATGTGCAGCAGGTCAGGAGCTCATTTACAGATAGGAAATGACAGTGCTTTGCCTTGGGTGGTCATTTTTAATTTTTCAAAACATTTTAAATTCTCTTAATCGTCATTTATTTTTGCTATAACCCCCAAATGTAGACAAACCACTTTTTTTATATGTCAAGTGGCTTGCCTTAAGTCAGATAGGGTCACACATAACTACTTTCCTTGGTCATTTCTGCATGTTAAGTTACTGTGCAATCGACTAGACACTCCCCTCATCCCTAGTGCTCTGCTTTTCTCTCACTAGACAAGACTGCTGGATTAAAAAGAAGCACATGTAGATGGCTCAAAGGAATAATCTACATGTAAACAGTTAAGAATGAACCAATAATATATTTCACCTATTATCCCCCTGAAAGAATTACCCAATAATATAGTTACATTAATCATCAAAAATCCACTCAGGCGTTTTAAAATGTCTTTGAGGAAAGAGATTTTCACAACCTTCATGTTAGGAACTGATGTTCCTATATCTTAGGGCAGGATTTAGAATTTCTTCTGTGACCTTTCATTTTGATTAGCTGCCACAATGTCAAATGAAGTAATGTGAGGTTCTGGCTAAGGCAGGAGAGAACAGCTCACTTTGCTGCTTACAACTAGGCCTTTGGATAACCCCATAAATCCTGTGCTCCCCCTCCTTGTGCAAAGGAATTAGCATTCTTCAAAAATGAAATTAAATAAATCTAATATATTTCACAGTTTGTTCTATCCACGCTACGGTGGCTGCTTTACTGTGTTTGAATGTTCTTGGGGGAATACAGTGACATCTAAAATGGCATCAGCAATCACCCCTGTGGAGGGAGGGGGGTGAGGTGATAGGAAGGACGGTAAAGAGATGAAGAGAGAAGAGAGTGAAAGATGAAAGAAAGGAGGAGGTAAGAAGGGTGGGAAGGAGAGGAAGGAAGAATAGAAGAGAAAGAGGAGGGCGGATGGAGGCGGGGAGAAGAAAAGCAGATGAGCGGGCAAGAGGAAGTGAGGAAAGAATGGAAAAAGGAAAAGGGAGAAGGGAGGTGATGGTAGAAATTGAGGACAGTAGAGGTGAGAGAAGAAAAGGGAATAGAGGAGAGAAAAGGGTGAGAGGCCAGGAAACAGGAGGGAATAAGAAAAAGGGGTGAGAGGAGAGGAAGGATGAGAGTAGAAAGGAGGAGAGATGATGGGAAGAGGAGAAGTGAGAGAAAGAGGTGAAAGAAGGCGTGTAGGTGGAGAAGGGAGAAGAAAAGGGAGAGCAGAGAGGAGGGGCAGGCAAGAGTGAGGAGAGAAGGGAGGGAGAGGGGAGAGGACATGAGAGAAGGGAGGAAGGTGAAGGGAGGTGAGGCGATGAGCGAAGAAGAGAAGGGAGGAGGGAAAGAAGCTGAGGAGGAGATGAGGGAGAGGAGACGAGGAGGAAGGGCAGAGAGAAAGGCATGAAAGATGACAGGAACAGAAGGAGAGGTTGTGAGAAGGGAGTAGAGGGGAAGAGAAGAAGGGAAGAGTGAGGACAGACGACAGGAAGGGAGGTGAAGGGAAGAGAGGAGGGTAAGGTAGACGTGTGAGAGGAGTAAAAAGGAGAAGGGAGGAAGGGGAGATGAAAGGGAGGAGTGAGGAAGGGAGGGGAAGAGAAGGAAAGACAGGAGGAGAAAGGATGGGAGGAGAGTAGGGTGGAAGGAAGGAAGCTAGAGGAGGAGAAAGGAGAAGAGGACAGAAGGGGAGGAGATGAAGTGAGGATAGAAGAGGGAAGGAAAGAAAAGTAGGGTGGGCAGGAGAAGAGAGGAAGGGAGGTGAGGAGATGAAGAGGAAAGGGAGGAGGAAGTGAGGACAGGAGTGGGAGGGTAAGGGGAGGAGAGCAAGTGTGAGAGGAGTAAAAAGGAGGTGAAGGGAGAAGAGGAGGGGCGAGAGGAGACAGGAAAGAAGAGGAGAGGAAGTGAAAAGGGAGAAGAGAAAGGGAGATGAGAGGAGGGGAAGAGATGGAAAATGAGGCTGGAGAAGAAGCCAGGAGAGAAGGGGAGGAGATGAAGTGAGGATAGGAGAGGGCAGGGGAGGAGCGAAAGGGGTGAGAGGACAGGAAAGGAGAAGAGAAGAGGAAGGAAGGAGCGGGAGAAGAACAGAATAGGGTGGATAGGAGAAGAGAAGGGAGGAGGGAAGGAAGCTCAGAGGAGAGAAAAGGGGGAAAGGAGAGAAAGGGGTGAGAGGAGGAGAGCAGGGTAGAGAGAAGAGAGGAAGGGAAGTGAGATGAAGGGGGAAAGGGATGAGCGAGAGAAGGGAGGAGATGAGGACAGGGGGAGGGCAGAGAGGAAGGTGGAGAGATGATAGGAAGGGTGGTGAGGAGATGAGGGAGAAGAGGAGGAAGGGCAGAGAGAAAGGCATGAAAGATAGGAAGGGAGGTGAGGAGAGGATAAGAGAAGGGAATAGAGCAAAAGAGGAGAAGCAAGGAGAGAGGACAGGAAAGGAGGTGAGGAGAGGGGAGAAAAGAGGAAGTGAAGGGAAGAGAGGAGGGAGAGGCGGTGAGGACAGGAGGGGAGGGTAAGGGGAGGAGAGCAAGTGTGAGAGGAGTAAAAAGGAGGTGAAGGGAGGAGGGGAGGACAGGAAAGGAGAAGGGAGGAGTGGAAGGGAGGTCAGGAGAAGAGGAGGGGAAGAGAGGAGAGAAAGGGAGGCTCGAGGGGAAGAGAGGGAAAATGAGGACAGAAGGAAGCTGAGGGGAGAAGAGGACAGGAGAGAAGGGGAGGCGATGAAGTGAGGCTAGGAAGGGAGAAGAGAAGGGAGGGGAGGAGAGAGGGGTGAGGGGGCAGGAAAGGAGAAGAGGAGAGGAAGGAAGGAATGGAGGGGAAAGAAGAGTGGACAGGAGAAGAGAAGGGAGGTGAGGAGATGAAGGGGACAGGAAAGAAAGGGGTGAGGGGAGGAGAGGAGAAGAGAGTGGAGAGAAAGGGAGTGAGGAGAAGGGAGGAGAGGAGAGGAGAAAAAGAGGCAAGGCTAGGGGAAAGGGCGGAGAGGAGGGTGGAGAGATGATAGGAAGGCGGTGAGGAAATGAAGGGAGAAGAGGGAGGAGAGAAAGGTGAGAGAGAAGGGAGGACAGGAAGCGAGGAGAGGAGAGGAGAGGACAGTTGAGGAAGGGAGGGGAAGAGACAGAGGAGGTGAAGGGAGGCAAAGAAAGGGAAGGCGAGAAGAGGGGAAGAGAGAAAGGGAGGAGAGGAGAGGAAGAGGGGAGAAAGGGAGGCGGGGAGGACATGAGCAGAGAAAGCAATAAAAGTAGAGAGGAAGGAGGGGAGGGAGGGAGGCAGGAAGGGAACAGGAACCTTCCCAGTGCACGGAAGGGCAGCCTGGGCAGGACGCTGTCACATGTGTCCAGGGTGGCCCCAGCTTCACAGAGGTTGATCTCAAATCCAGGCTCTGAGAGTTCCTAACGACTTCATAGGACAGTCCCATCCCACATAAGCTGAGGCTTTGCAGAAGGGTGCTACGAGGTGGTATGCAAAGGATTCAAAGGGGCTCTGTGCACAGAGGCCAACGCGGGCGCCCTGTCAGTAGTCACAGCAGCAGCAGAGCATGTGCCGATCAGGAGGCCGAGAGCACTCTGAGCGCTCACCACCACCCTCATGCACCAAATACCAATGAAGACTCAACATACAAGTGACAGTTACACTCAAAAACAGTGTAAGCAGACACCCTGAACACAAAGGGCAGGAGAGGTAATGGGAATTGAAGTCTAGTGTTGGGTATATAAATTCTCAAATCCAAGGGACCAAGCATCTGCTTTGAAAACCCACTCTTGATCTAAGAAAAGGCCCTGGTGCTTAGAAATGAGACCTGATATGATCCCCGACTTCATGGGGCTCTTTGCCCCATAACGAAAAGGTTTTCTTAAGATCCATCTTGGCATTTTCTGGGCTGAAAATTGTCACTGAGTTAGTATTTTGCTTTTCTGAATTGAAGCAACTATTCACTGGCCTGGAATCCAGTTCTAGAACCAGGAGAACCACATGTGTAAAACTCTTTCAGTAAGTATCCACAGAGCACCCCAGTATGGGAGGCCTCTCATGCCACTTCAATGAAATAAGGGGGAAAAGGCACAAGGGGAGGCTATAAAGAAAATCTTTGAAAATAAAGTTTTACCATTGTTTTCATAAGGTTTGCCAAATTCACAAGGCAATGAGGGAAGTATTGAACCTGCAAAGTTTTTTTGTGTGCCTTCTACTAGACAGTAAAAAGAGGAAATAGACATTAAACCAAACTTATTTGTCTAGCTACCACATCGAGAGCCATATGCAACTAATACCTGCAACTATTGAGACAAGTTCTGTAAAAAAAGTGGGGAACTTGGGGACATTCACTTGGCCTCCAGCAATGACCATGGCCTCACAGTCTGCAGGAAAAGGATCACAGACAAGGGTCACTGATGCCATAATTGCAATAAAGGGTGACTGATTTACAAAGTCAGCATTACCCTGATACCAAGGCCAGATAAGGACTCTACACAGAAAACTGCAAACCATTATCCCTGATGCAAACTGAATTCAACATCACATTAAAAGGATCATACCCCATTGTATGGAACCATAAAAGACTCTTGTATATACACCATACACAAAGTTGTATGTTAACAGCCAAAGCAATCATGAAAAAAGACAAAGCTGGGGGTATCATACTTCCTACATTCAAACTATATTAAAAAACTATAATCATCAAAACAGTATGAAGCTGGCATAAAAATACACACATAAACCTACCCTTAAGGCCATTGTGTGTAAGTAAGGTTACTGAAGAGAGACTCAGGAATTATTCCCTGGTGCTCTAAATAGATAATAAATCAATTTAACCTCTGCCATGCTTCCTATTAGCTCTGTGACCTAGGACTGAAGGGCAATATGAGAAATGACAACCCAGAAATAATCTCTTGAATATATGGCTCAGGCTAAAATTTGACAAGAGAACATTACTGCCCAGTAAGAAAAAGAGAGGCTGCAATAAATGGTGTTGAAAATCTAGATAACCACATGAATGAATTTGGATCTATATCTTACACTCCTCGCAAAAATTAACTCAAAATTAATCACAGCCTTAAACATAAGAACTGAACCCATCAAACTCCTAGAAATCAACAGGGGGGAAAGATCTTTGACAAGATCTTGGCAACCATTTTTGGACATGACACCAAAAACATGAGCAAAAGCAAAAATCAGTAAATGGGACTACATCAAACTAAATAGCTTCTGCACAGAAAAAGCATCAAAATGAAAGGCAACCTACAGAAGAAGAAAATATTTACAAATACATATATGTAAGATAAGGGGTTAAAATCCAAATAGATGATTCAACAGTAAGGAAAAAACAATTCACAAATGGACAGAGGAACTGAATATTTTTTCAAAGAAAGCACACAGATGACAAGTACATGAAAAGATGCTTAACATCCCTAATTATCGGATAAATGCACATCAAAATCACAATGAGATGTCGGCTTACACCTGCTATCGTCAAAAAGACATACAAATGCTGGCAAGGATGTAGAGAAAAGTCTTTAATAGCGTTGGATGGAACGTTGTTTTTCAACCACTATGCAAACAGTCAGTATAGAGCTTCCTCAACAATTAAAACAAAACTACCCAGCATCCAGCAATTCCACGCCTGCGTATCCAAAGGAAATAAAAACAGGGTATTACGAGATAGCGCCACATGATACCACTTACAGTAGAATCTAAAACAGCTGTACTCATAAACAGACTAGGGGGGCTGTGCTGGGGGTGAAGAGATGTTGGTCACTGGGTAAAATTTCCATTGAAGTGAATTCTAGGGATCTAGTGCACAGCCTGTCTTGACAGTTAATAATAAAACCTAAAAGGCCCTAAGAGATCTGAAACATTTTTGCTACAAAAGAGACACAGGACCATGTGGTCTGTGGTGGGGCTGGCTAACTCTGTAGTGATGGCCATTTGCAATATTCTAAGTGCATCCAGTCAGTAATTAGTACACCTTAAACGAATACAAGGTTGTATGTTAGTTATATCCTGATAAAAAGTGGGGAAAAAAACTCTTATTAAATAAAACCTACCCTTGCAGTTTAACATGTGTAAGAAAGGCTACTGGAGAGAGGCAGGAATTATTCCCCAGTGATCTAAACAGATAAGCAGATTGATCTAATCTCTGCCCTGCTTCCTATTAGCTCAGGGACCAGGCCTGAAGGTCAGGAAAATCAAGCTCCTTTGAGTTTCCTGTGGGAGGAACATGCACTGAATGTTTCATTTTCAACTGGTCACTCACACCAGGCACCTCGCCTGCTGGACTTTCTGTACAATCCAACCCTTCTCCACAGCGTAAATACCGCCAGCATTTCTAGGAAAATGGATTAACAGAAATAAAGGGACTGTAGAAAGGTCTTGAAATAAAGTGGAGAGCGATATCAATTGCTTTGTCTCCGAATCAAAATGTTTTTATTTCCTTTGTTCACTTTTCTGTTACAGACCTCACATTCCAGTCAGCAAATTAGTGGTTTCGGAATCCTATGACACTTACATCAGTAGAAGTTTCCAAGTCACCAAAGAAATAATAAGTGAATGTAAAAGTAAAGGTAGGTGGCTTTGCTTTGGTCTCCACATTTAAGTATATGATTGTGGTCAATAGGCTATTCAAGACGTTCCAGCTTGCTTTGGCAGACTTGCTCAATAAGGACTCTTAGATGCTGTCATGTTAAATTTATAATGTTCTCTGAGTACCTAAGATGGTAGATATTCCATGGAAATATACCATGTTTAGTTACTATACTAAATAACTTAGAATTTTCATTATAGCTATTCCTCTTGCACTCTGTGAAGGAGGTTCCCTGTGACAATTTCCAGAAGTTCTTTACCGTTTTGCCTATAATTTGATACAGAAACACGGGTACCTTCTGCAGCACATCCCACCTGCTACCACCAGCCAAGAGCAGTGTTCTGTAAGATTCCAGTCTGTTAGCTTTTGAATTCTATAAACTGAGCTCAAATATTTAATGACATGGAGGAATGACTTACAATTTTTTTTTTTTTAGTGAAAAGGGCAGGTTACAAAAGAGTATGCAGTTTCCCTCTCCTCCCATTTATCTTCATAGAGCAAAGTCTAGAATGACACACACCCAGAGGCTCTCAGTGACTAGCCCTGGTCAGCAGTGCCATGGTGACTCCTTTCATGTGTCACTCAGAAGCTGCTCACCCTCCATCATTCCAACTCCTTGCTCCCTCCTGGGAGATTCCCAGGATGTTCTACGAGCCTCAAGTTCTCACAGTTCTACAGTGGCATACTAGAAGGAGTAGCAGAGGGTCCTGTAGACCAGAATTTTTTTTTAAAGATTTATTTTTATTTATTTATGCATACAAGGACTTGGGTGTAGGCCAGAGATGCGGGGCAGGGAGGTGTAGTAAGAGGATTCACTGGAGACAGAGTGGGGAGCAGAACAGGCAGATCTACTGAAATACACTGCTGAGGGGAGCAGTTGGCAAGACAGGGGAGGTCTGCCACGCCATGCAGGTCAGCTCCCTGGCCGGGGATTGAACTCACGCAGCAGTGGCTGGTGATAGCTTGATAGTGCTGAGACTTTAACCCCTGGGCCACCAGGAGGCCCCAGAATGGTTTTGATCTAGATTATGGTGATAGCTATAAAAAACTACACATGATCAGCACATAGTACACATGGTGTACTATGAATGCTCTGAGGATTGTCCTCTGCCTGTGTCCTGGTGTGGCCTATTTAGGCAGGATGTCAAGGTGCAGGAGGCTGGGGGCATGGTCCATGGGCCCGCCCTGGTGTATGTATTTGCAAGTGTGTATATACACACACACTATGTCTGTATGTGGTATAGAATACATGTATACAGTAGTCCCCCCCTTATCCACAGGGGATATGACCCCTAGTGGATGCCAGAAACCTCAGAGAGTACTAATATATACATACGATAAAGTTTAATTTATAAATTAGGCATAGTAAGAGATTAACAATAATAATGATATAAAACCATTCTAACAATATGTTGAAATGAAATTTATGTGAACATGGTTATTTCCTAAAATATCTTATTGTCTATAATAATTTTAGACTGAGATTGACTTCAGGTAACTAAAAGCAAACTGCAGATAAGGGAAGATTCCTGTACACAGTGTCATTTAAAAACACTGCCTCGGGCCTCCCCTGGTGGCACAGGCGGTTGAGCACAGAGTTGTGAAGCTGTCCTTAGCCTCTGCAGCGCTGGTTCGATCCCGGCCGGCCGGCAAGGGTCCCACATGGCGCGGCAGACCTCTCCTGTCTCGCCTGCTGCTCCCCTCAACAGTGTAATTCGTCAGTCTGCCTGTTCTGTTCCTCACTCTGTCTCTGGTGAATCCTCTCACCCTCCTGAGAATCTGGCCTGTACCCCAGTTCTTGTATAAATAAATAAATAAATCTTTAAATAAAAACATTGCCTCTAATATTCCCTAATTAGCTCAGGGACCAGGCCTTTAAATGGCATTACAAATGGCCAACAGGCATGTGGAAAATGTTCAACATCACTTATGATCAGGGAAATGCAAATCAAAACCACAATGAGATATCACCTCACACCAGTGAGAATGGCACATATTTAAAACACTGGCAACAACATGCTGGCGAGGATGTGGAGAAAAGGGAACACTTTTACACTGCTGGTGAGACTGCAAACTGGTCCAACCACTATGGAAAGCTGTGTGGAGGTTCCTCAGACTACTGAAAATGGAGCTATCATATGACCCAGCAGTTCCACTCCTAGGAATCTACCCAAAGGACACAAAAACATTAGTTCAAAAGGATATCTGCACCCCTATGTGTACTGAAGCACTATTTGCAGTAGCTAAGCTATGGAAACAACCCAAATGCCCAAAAATAGATGACTGGATCAAGAAGATGTTGTATATATACACAATGGAATACTACTCAGCAATCAAAAAAGATAAACTCATGCCATTTGCAGCAACATGCATGGAACTAGAAGGGATTATGCTCAGTGAAATAAGTCAGAAGGAAAAGAAAAATATTGTATGGTTTTCACTTATAGAAGGAACATAGGGAAACCATACCAGGGATCAGGAAAAAAAAGATGAAACTAGCAGGCAACTATAAATCAGAGACATTCAGCCGGGGAGAGAAGAATTAAAACAGGGGCAGGAAGAGCACAACAGACTATGGTGATGGGTCACGGGTGACTTGGTGGTAGGAATTTTGTGGGGACTACACCTGAGAGAGGAGAAATCAAACATTGTACGAAAATTAACAATGATGAGATATATATATAAAATTATATGGCATTAGGCGGCCTTAACAGTACAAAGCACATCAAAATTATCTCCTTAAGAATGCTTGTTTCTTCCAGGAACACTGGGCTTCTAGCATGTACAGTATTTACATGTCTTTAGAGAAACTGTCTTCCCATTCTTGCTTTCCCCCCCAGGAAATAACATCCTGTTTGTGGCCCATGCATCTTCCCTTGAAGCCTGCACCTGCCAACTTCAGGGCCTGTCGCCTCAGAACTCCAAGGACTTTGTACAGATGGTCCGAAAGGTAACTCAAACGGACTTGCACTTGGGGCCTGTGCTGCTGCAGGGCGGTGGTGCAGCCAGTGACTGGCTGGTGCTATGTGCTGCTGAGCACGTGTGTTTACCCAGAGCTAGGGAGGTATTGCTTCACTTAACCAAGATGTATCGGTCGAGATGGTACCCTATGTTAGGCATGTTTTTAGGAAAAGGAGTGTTTGAGCTAGCTCTGGCTTCTAAGAGTTAGATTTAGGAAGTGGCTAAGTATGTAAGCAAATTGCCTGAATTTCCCCAAGGGAGTGAGGCTTGGATGAAGAAGGTGAGTGGGTCAAATCACAGCATCTGACAGCTCAGTTAGAAGAGAGGCCTGAAGGCTGGTGGGCCAGAGGAAGCAGGGATTTAAAATACCAGGCTGAAAGGAGAGCCCAGGAACACGGAGGTGAGACAGAAAACCCATGAGGTTGATCACATCTAGATTCTCCCTCTAGTGCCTGTGGATTTTGTGGTCAGCCACCCCCACGCACTTCCCTTCAGGCTGTTACAGGCTTCCTTTATCTGCCCCCAGGGAACCTGCTTCCCACTCCAGAGCAATTCTTTTCTTATTTTTTTTTATTGTTATTGTTGTTGTTTGCTTTATGCATCTGTCCTTCCCATTAGTCTGTAAGCTATTTGAATGCACAGATTTTTTTGTCTTGTGTATAAATGCAGCTCTGGATACACACACACACACACACACACACACACACACAAAATGTCATGACTGCTAAAGTTGAGGAAGGCCGCAGCTTGAGCAAAAAACAAAGCAGAGTGAAACCATTTTAAAATTAATCTTACCCATTGTCCAAGGATAATTTCAGAAACATTGAGCTACATTTTTAACTTGATTTATAATTGGGAATTACCTCCCAGCATCTTGGATTTATATATCATTGTCCTCTTTTTTCCCGCACACTATTAGGAATCTATAAATAATTACTTAATTGCATTAGAGGAGTGCGCTGCCGCTAAGTAAATCCTGCTGATGTCCTCTCTTGCAGTTTAATACTCTTCCCTCTAAATCTGTCAGCTCTATCCATTTTTTAATTGATTCTGGGGGGAAGCTGCATATCTGCAAAGTCCCTGGACACCCCTATGAATACTCCTATCCTCCGGGGTCACCTGAATATATCTGTACCTAGGTAAAAGTTAAAGCACTAAGCCTCTGTTTTCTGTGTTCCCTTTTTTTTACTACCTCAGATCCCATACTTGGGATTTTGTTCCTGTGAAGAATTAGGAGAAACTGGAATATGGCAGCTGACAGACCCGCCCATCCTTCCTCTTACCCACGGACCCACTGGGGGCTTCAACTGGAGAGAGACTTTGCTCCAAGAATAGACCACAGCGTGGATGACCAGAAAGGGCCCTGGGAAGCCTTGGGGAGGAGTGTCTATTTGTGTGTTGAGTGACAGTGGGAAAATCTGAACCACCTTCTAAGCAGAACGCTCAGAATCATTTAGCATATTTCTTATCTGCTTTCAAGTTCTTCTGATGAGATGGAGTGAATGAAGGAAAGACTTGATTCAGGGATAAAATTCATTCTCTCTGGACTATTGCCCAGCTAACAAGGGTTTCCAGAATTGTCTTCCTAAATCAGGGCCTTCGCCACGGCAGAGGATGCCTACTTTCCTCTGTCTCATCAGGACTAAGGAACCTGTGCCTCCCAAGGGGGCTGCCTTTCCCCTTGCCAAAGGGAGAAGTGCACCCAGAATCCAGCAAGGGCCCTGAGCTGCCAGTTTGGTGATGGAAGCTTCTTTTTAATGCCACGTTCCAGTAAAGCAAAGCCAGGCTGACAAATTCTTTTAAGGCTATTAAAGAAAAAACCTGCCCCCCAGCCCCCAGATTCATTCTTAGGTGACACATCAAGTCCTGCCCTCCAAATGCCCCTGCACCGTGCTGCTGGCTCCAGCGCCTGTTCCTGGACTCCGAGATTTACCTGGTACCACCACACTTTCCTAGAGCGACTGGCTACAGCTTTTGGCTGCAGCCCTTCCCCTCTGCTGCAATCTATGAAATGGGGAGACAAAGCACTTTGGATACTCAGGAGGAGGATAAATGCGTGAAACGTTCCATTCCAGGAACAAAGAACTTGCAAAACCTAAAGTGACTTGGCACTTGTAAATCACCAGGATCTGTTGGGCTTTGCCCCCATCTAGCTGTCACTCATTACGGAGGTTGACACTTTGCAAAGATGTACGTTACATGCACTGAGTCAGCCAGAAGCTCATTCTCAAGCAGCACAGACACCTTTACAAACTGCACCGAGGGTCAGGCTGTTGTACACCCGGAGTACACGTCAACCGGAACAGAACATTCACAGACGCATCACTTATACCAGGGATGTATGACGAAGTCAGGGAACTAATTTAAATGACAGTCACGACTGCACTGCTGCTTGTGCTGTCGTTCTTGTTTGTTTTTCTATAATAATTTAAATTTTAAGGAAAATCGGGAGAGAGCCACATCCAGTGGTTTCTCCTCAAACATGCTTCCTGAATTTAGAGGGAGTTAATTTAAAAGAAAAATAAATGACAATCAAGCCAAAACATCAGTTATCAATGTCTATTTAATTGTGTGATGAGCTGACTGCTGACAGCGCAGACAGCGATCAGGCGGGGTATGTAGTTCACTGTGTAGAATCTGTGTGCAAAATGAAATCCTACCCACCTAACAGAATGTTAGTGTTGAGCAAATCAATATATATTGCAGCATCGAGAAAGCTTCAAAGCCCAGATGCATAAAACATACGGTATATAAAAATAGATCTGTGCTCTTATTTGCAACTAGAATTTCATGATCCCTGAAAAGAGGAGGAAGTAAAAGGTTGCTGACTGTGTATGTTAATCAGCAAGAGGATAATAGTTGGAGTTTTTTTTTAAGACACTTAGAGAAAGAAGTCATGAATTTTATATTTTAAGAAACAAATCTTGATTTCTTCTAGCACTGCACAGTGATCCAGCTTCTGGGTATAAAAATAATTCTCTCTTGACATCATTGATTAACATCAAAGTTTTAACCTTAAAATGGAGAAAACAACTTCCATTAAAAGGTTTTAAGAAAAAAGTGACATAGCAGTAAATGTCACTGCCATTCATTCTCTTATCTGTAATGAAGTGACTCCACTGTTTAATCAGATCTATAATATCTACTAGATTCTACACAAGTTTTCAAGGACTTTCAGTGCTCAGAGTAATGCTTGCCACATCACATCAGATGTCCTTGGAAACTGTAGCACTGCATTCAGACAAGTCTGTGCTTGTATAGAACAAAAGTTCAGAGAAGTTATCTCTCTCTCTCGGTTGTCTTAGTCCAATGATAACCTGACAGGTCATTTCAGCTGAGCTACAATCCACTGTCCTTAGCCCAATATGGACTGAACCTTAGATCATGGTCTACTTGAGCAAAAATAGGCAGAGATAGGGAAGTCTGAGTAATGTAGGTAAAAAAAAAAAAAAAAAAAAACCCTCGAGTGAAATAATCTAGCCTATGTTTAAATTGTCCAGATTATTATCATGGACAATTATAATTTAATGTGAATCACCTGAATTCATGTTAAATTCTTTTTCACACTTATTTGAAAAATTACAATGGGATGCCAATTGAGAAAAATCTTTGGAAATTTTGTTGAATTGATGTGTGATAAAAGGAATAGATAACTGTATTACATGGTTTCATATTCATCCAGAAATTCCAGGTTGATATTACAACTTGAAGTTGAAGCTGGTTCTTTTTGATCTGTGACTGATGCTTATTAAGAACAAATGTGTTGGACAAGGAAGGAAGAAAACGCCAGATAAGAAGAACTAAATTGTTTCTGATAGACTGGAGTTTTTTGTTTTTTGGTTGTTTTTTTTTTAATGCAGAAGGTTATCTGAAATAAACTAAGTGAGAGAAAATTAGCTAGAGGATTTAATCTAGAATTGAAAGTCTGAAACAGCTTGCTGTTTGCACAAGTGTGCCACATCAACCATTAATGCTCCAGTATTATTCATAGATAGGACTTTGCTTTGGGTGATTTTAAAATGCTACATCTATTCCTCTGTGGATGAGAATAATTGGCACATTTTAATGCACAAGCTGGGGGATTCATTTTCCCAGGCTCTCTTCTCCATCACTGCACTGGTAGCTAGGAGCTTTTTGCTTCACCCCAGTATGGAGTTCAGAATACAGTGTTTCCCATTACATTTAGATTCAGAGAATCTGAATGGCTGATTAAATGGCCATCTGATGGCCGAAAAAGGGGGGTGGTCTTTTTCACCCTTTAGTGAAAGGCTGGGAGGAGTTTCTACTTTTTATTTTAATTATACTTTAACCAAAGAATTATTTTAAAGCAACCTTATATTTGAAAGATGATTTTGCAAAAAATAAAAATAAATAAAAAATATCTTCTGGAGTGATGTTGATTTGGTAATTCATTGTTAATAACTTTCTTGCATTTTAGACTGATGTTATCATCTACCTGTCAGTGGTATCTGGAATACATATAGATTGTCATCTAATTGTACATATATGTATCTTTTCCATTCAACCAGCTGTGTTGGTATTAAACAAAGTCTCTTATTTCAATTACCTAGTGTCATTGGGAACTAATTAAACTACAGTGAGAAAAGTTTGGTCCAGTTGCCTTGGCAGCAAAAAGGGGAGGCACTCTCCCCGAACCTAGGCACTCTGCCACTCAGTGTTTAAATTGAAAGCAGTGATGAATTGCTCTTTGGAATTTACTCTAAGTGACGCGTGTGCTGGAATACAGATTAGCCTCCTCTAATTTCACAGGCACAGTCACAACTGTACTGTGTCTGCACAAACTTCTCAGATAATGAGACACAGGGTTATTTGCATTTAAATTGTAGGCCAGTACACATGTGAGAACTCGGAGGCCTCAGTCCCGCCTGGCCTGGAGGGATGTGGCTGGCGTAGAAGGGTGGGCAAAAGAGCCATTTAACATTTATCTAGATTAACGTTCACTTTACAGAGATGATGGGGGGATATTTGTTAGGTGCTGGCAGATGCTTTTCATGTTTAAACATAAGATTAAAATTGGATTTGCTTCTCTTTAATACTTCAACATATTGAATTTTCCTAAGAAAGTAGCTAGTTATAATGAAAATTCAAGAGAAGGGGAAAAAGTTGCCTCTAAATGCAGGGGAAATAATGATTTTTAAATACACAGAAAATTATGTTCAGTGTATGTAGGTTTGAAATGAGGATTAGTCTAACTTAATATGCATTCAGTTCTCAGAAATGTTTTTTGCACAATACCTCAGCTGCCATGCCACAAGAATCAAAATTTTGCAGCTGTTCAACTATTCCTGGACTCTGTACAGGGAAATATGTATGATGGGAAACATGTATTGCTTCTTTCTTTGGTTGAGACATCCAAAGTGTTTTAGTTTTGCATAGACCATTCTAAACCTGTTTGGGGCGGTGCTTTGGTTTCTTATTTATAAGGCTGATGTATCATCTTTTTTTTCCTATGTGATTTGAGTGTATTTATTTGAAGAAAAGGGTTTGTAATTATTAAACCACACCTAACTGTATTGCCAAATTCCTTGTAAACTACTTGTGGCCTTTGTGCTTTCCTGGCCAACCTTTTCAGGTACAGCTGTGGTGCCAGTGTGATTAGTTCATTCCATCCCATTTAAATGGTTCATAGATGATTTAATAAAGTAAAACTGTGTTCCTCTTCGGAGGTGATCTCATATTAAATTCTGAGTGATCTCTCTTCCTATCATGTTTTCAGATGTTACTGTTGTCATTATATTTCGTGAATGTCCATTAAGAGTGCAATTTTTGTCTCTGAGGGCCAGGGGGCGCTTGCTGCTGATGGGAATGGGGTGGAGGGTGGTTACTGTGCGAGCACAGTCGGATCTCTACTCCTTCCTGGGCAGTATCTTTTAGTTACCCAACCTTCAGAGGTACAAAGCTACCAGATGGAAAACAAGTTCCAAAACGCTCTACTCCATACGTGCCAGCCTCATCCCTCGCCACCAGCCCCCTCAAGCAGGAGCACCACGAACTACACACAAACTATGCACAAGTTTGGATGTGGGTACGAGAAAAGGCGAATCCAGCTCAAATTAGCTCCCACACTACTAAAAGCCATAGACCGTATTTTTAAAATAAGGACATATTAAGGCAGTAGATTTTAAAATAAGCCACATATGCCAGGACCCACAGATTTGTGTTGATACCCCAGCTTCTGCCATGGTCAGGTTTACTTCCTGAGGAAACAACAGTTCACGCTCAGATCTGACAGGAGGGCAAGCTGTGTTTAGCCTTCGGACTGGTTCTCAGCTGTCCTCTGCTTGACAGATTCCCAAACTCATTTTGCCCTTTTGTGAGTATGTAAAGGCTGCCTGCACATCCAGAGAAAATGAATCTGTGTGTGCTTTGCATTTGTCAAGGCTTAAATCAGCAAAGCAGCTTTTCTTTTTCTGAAAGTGGAGAACCAAAAAGCCATCTTCTGAAGAAACAGAATACTTCATTTGGCCAAAAATAACCATGTAAAATCCAGATGGCTTGCTCCTGGCGGTGAAAAGATGTCAAGGTTTATTCCGCTCACTGACTGTCACTGTGTTGGGGGCAGTCCAAAATGCCTGTGCGTCACTGGAGAAAAGCCTCCGGAACCAGACAAGAAGCTCTATTGCAAGAGTTAGAGTGAAGTTATGAGCCTGACTCTGCTACTTGCTAGATTCCTTAAACTCAGTTCACCTGCAAAATGGACACAGTAGTTCTCTACACTATGGGTGTGAGTATCAAGTAGCAGAGTGACTATAAAATATCTAATGCTACATGCTAATAAAAAGATACTGCATGCTAATAAAGAAATAATTGTTTTTGGCAAGCTCAAGATAAAATCACACATCTAGTCATTCCTGTTGCTATAGGAGAGTATCAGGGGCAAGGACTAAAAATGTCCTTATTCCTACTGATATTATTTTACTATTTTTTCTAAACATTAGTTTAGAAAAGAATAGTAAAAGTGGTTAATTTGGCTGAAATTTGTGGTTTGTCTAAGAGGTTTCCTTAATGATTAACTACCTTCCTTTTGTATCATTACAGGGTTTTTTAAAGATTTATTTTATTTATTTATGCATACAAGAACAGGGTGTAGGCCAGGGGTACAGGGGTTGGCGAGTGAGAGGATTCACCAGACACAGAGTGGGAAGCGGGAACAGGGGGATCCACTGAAATACACTGCTGAGGGAAGCAGTGGGGGAGACAGGAGAGGTCTGCTGTGCCATATGTGGGTTAGCTTCCTGGCCAGGTATGGAACTCAGGATGCAGTGGCTGGCGATAGCTTGATAGCTCTGAGACTTTTAACCCCTGTGCCACCAGGGAGGCCCATGTATAACTACAGTTTTAAAAACACATTTCCATTTGATCCTCATAACAATTTCATAAGGCAAGGGGATCCAGTATTAACTCTGTGTGAAAGATACTAGGATACTGAGGTTGTGGATTCATTTTTTCTATAACTTTACCAAAGACTAGATTCCCAACAGGGTAGCAGGCTGAAGATACAGCAGCAAAGAAAGCAAGGTCTCTGGTCTTCTGGAGTGGAGAGACAATGAATACAGAAATAAGTAGTTACAGATGCTGATCTATGTTCTTTCGGAAATAGACTGATAAATGGCAGAGAGTAACTTTGGAAGGGATACGAGACATGGGGTATCACTTTAGATGGAAGTCTGGTTTGTTGTCCCTGAGCAGATGGTAATGAAACCAACAGCTAAGGCTGAGCAGAAGCTGGTCATGTTGAAGATCAAATGAGGAAGGATCCAGCAAGATGGAATGAGTGCAGAAACCCCCAAGTGGAAAGGAACTAACTAGGCTAGAACAGAAGGGATCCAGGAGCTACAAGCTTAGTAGTCATGACTAAGTAGGAGAGAAGAAGCTGGAAGCAGAAAAACCCAAAAACCCAGGGTCCTGGAACCAGGGGCCAGTGAACTCATCTCCAAGCAGACAGTGACCTACAACCTATGTTTGTGCAGCCTACAATCTAAGAACAACTTTATAATTTTAAATGGTTGAAAAACATCAAAGGAAGAATATTATTTCATGACATGATAATTCCATGAAATCCAAATTCCAATGTCTACAGATGAAGTTTTATTGGCAAATAGTGACACTCAATCACTTCTACATCACCTTTGAATATTTCTAGGATATAGGAGCAGAGTTGAGTAAGAGGAACCATGATCTACAATGCCATTTACTAGCTGACCCTTTATGGGAAAAGACTGCCTACCTCTGTTGCAGACCATGTGAAGCACTTAAATTTTATTCTTAACCCAAAAGATCCACACAGAAACCAGTTTACCTGGTTTAACAAATATATAGATTGGTGATATGCAGTGACAGGCCAGTATTGATTGAATGCTTATCTATATATCAGGCACTTTTCTAAGTACTTTACATATGTAGGCTTATTTCTTCTCATCAACTCAGTAAATACTATGATTACCCCCAATTTACAATAAGGAAGCCCCAGTTATTTACAATAACTTGCCCAAAGTCACACAGAGCTGCCCAGTGCTGCAGCTGAGATTTCAACCATATCAGCCTAACCCCAGAGCCTGGACTAATAGTTTAAGAGAAATTCTAAGGAATAAACGGCAGAATGCCAAGGCATCTGGGAGGGTACTTGGGTTCTTTGGAATAGAGTTTGAAAGCCACTGCTGAACATCTAAAGGTACCAAGTCAGACCGCCCCAAGCTTCTCAGAACTGACCTCCTCAAGACACCCTCCTCTGATAGGCAGAGTATTTTGAGCTAAGAGCAATGAAATCCCTTGAGGCTAAAGAGAAGCTTCTGTCCTTGTCTGAGTCCTTGCTCCTCCCTAATTGAAGAAGAGATTGTTCTGTCCTATTTTCTGTCCTTTTCCTAATAGGAGGAGCAATCGCTGCTCCCCTTTCATGACCCAGGCAAATGTATTTGGGGGGTGGAAAGGGGAGTCTTATCCAGTTCTAGGTTCAGTGAACATGACCTCTCATCTTTCCTCTCAGAGTACCCCTTCTAGCCTATCATGTGAAGCGTACCCCCTACCCTTGATACCCTAAGCCGCTGAAAGCACAATAAATATCCCTGGTCTACTCCAATATTCTTTAGAATTTAAAACCACATAAATTCTCTATACATATGTCAAACTTTGACCTTTTATCCTGCTAACCTGTCTGATGTTAACTTGCTCCTCTGACCAGCTTTAGAAGAACCCAGATGGGGTGGGAAATGTCCCCCCATGTCCCAACACATGCCACCCACGCATCTGCTGATGAAGACAGAGAAAAGTCACTTGTTCTAGGAGAGATTATGAACTGAGACCAGAAGCTGGTACCTGCAGCTTTGGTACATTCCCCCCAAACCACAATTTCCTTCTGAAATCAGCTCTACTTGGGTTCTATTCCCAGAATGACCCACTAAACTCTAGGCAGAAGCCTTAAAAACAAAGCTTACTTGGGCCTCCCCGGTGGCGCAGCGGTTGAGCGCTGGGCTGCGAAGCTGCTCACAGCCTCTGCAGCGCCAGTTCGATCCCCGGCTGCCGGCGAGGGTCCCACATGGCGCGCAGACCTCTCCTGCCGCCCGCTGCTCCCCTCAGCAGTGTACTTTGGTCCTTCTGCCTGTTCTGCTCCCTGCTCTGACTCTGGTGAATTCTCTCACCCTCCCGCACTTCTGACTGTACCCAGTGCTTGTATAAATAAATTTAAAAATATATATATATAAAAAAAAAAAAAAGAACAAAGCTTACTCAACCCTTTCCTTTAGCAGGCACATCTAACCCACCATGCTTCTGAGGGGTGGCTCCAGACACCTGGGGGCTGCAGGGTGACATGGTGCCGAGCCCCGTCCTTTGGCTACTGTAGTGAACTCACATCTCCCAGTCGCCTGATGCGGTGTGTCCCAGGTGAAGAGCAGGAAACCAGCACCAAGCAGCACAGTCTGCTCAAGTCACATGGCTGCTAGTGACAGTCTCCAGTGACCAGGCCAGCTCTCTCTGTCACCGACCCCCACAGTCATTCTGCTAAGCCCTGCTGCTCGAGGAAGCCTTTTTCTCAATCAGCAACTACTTCCAAAGGCTGTTGCTCCAGCTTAGGTCACCACACAGCCACTTAGTTGAAGTTGACAGCAAAATTCAAAAGAATCACACCTCAATGATCTCACCCATCTTGGGAAAGGCCAACATTCTTCACAGGCACCGTGAAAGGCCAGGAAGAGAGCTCAGGGCCCTCTCGCAACTGTAACAAAAACCCCAGTGGCTTCTGTGTGTGGGGAACCCCCTATGTTTAGACCCTCAAAACTGCATCTTTCACCTCCTTAAAAAAAAATCTCCCCTTTCTCAGTTACTTTTCCCCTCCCAGACAGCCTACCTTGACCAAGATGATGATGGCAAACTGCGTGCATATTTATTTACTTCTCTAAAATATGTCTCCACAAAGTTACCCATCAAAAGTGACTTCTGATTATCACTGAGACACTGTGAGGACTTCATGAAATGGGGATCTAAATGGCAAATGAGCATCAGTGGCAAGGCCTCCCAATACAAGGTGGTCAGCAGACACTTTTCCATTTGAAAGTAAGTAGGCGGTCACTCCCTGACCACCACACTCCACTCTCATTGTTTCCTCTCCCTGACTAGGAGGCCACCATGGGCTGCCCGCCCCTGTGGAACCCTAGGGCCGCAGGCTGAAGTGGAGGGGAGGCGAGTGGGGAGGAGGGTGAAAACCACAAGTGCATGTCATTCACAAGCCTGCCTTGCAGCGTTTCCCCTGACGACCACTTCTAACCTCTAAGTCCAGCAGGCTACCGTGACGTTTGTTGAGGTGTGTGGCCAGCTAACTCTCACATCCGTGGAGAAAGAGATGCATTCATCATTGCCCAAGTGCAACCTACAGCTTCTTTAATGATTTGAAAAAATTATCAAATACATCCTTTTACTCTTCAGAGCAAAAAGAACAGAGCTTATACCTCAAATGGAGAGTTCATTCATTCTCTCATTCACTTGCCCATTTGACATTCAATCTATTTTGAGTGCTGTCCTGGGCAGGTGCCCCAGGAAACAGGTTGAAATAGAGTTTTGGATGTAGGAGTTTACAGACTTGCTCTTTGGAATCACTCTTGGTCCACTTGAGCCCAGGGGACAAGACCTTTAACCCTCCTTTGGGGGTCCTCTGAGGGCAGTGTGACCTTGGGGTAGAGACCCAGCTGACAGATGCCATCCTTCCACCACTGCAAGTTTGAGGGGAAATCCAGGTGGCACATCAGAGTGTATACCCCAAGTGCCAACAAAGAACCAGTGTTTCATATAACTGCTTCTGCTGATCTTGAACTTTTTCTCTGAAATAGGAGATATTACAGAAAGCAAATATGGGAATATACCAGTTTCCCTTTAGTTAAAGTTCCCCTACAAGTGACTCAATTTAGTAAACAATTACTAAAACTATTATGGCAAACAACCCGGAAATTCATCTACATGTGATTGAGTAAATAAACCCATTATTAATATAAAGAACTACTACTCAGCAATAGAAAGGAGTAAATTCTTAACATACTACATGTAGTGAAAGAAGCCACACAAAAGTACATACTAAATGACTGCACCTATAAAATGTTCCAGAAAATTAACAGGAATCTCTAGTGACAGAAAGTAGATGACAGTTGCTTGAAGAAGAGAGTGGAGGAGGGTAGAGAGAAAGGATCACAAGAGGCAGGGGGAGCTTTGAAGGGAAGGAGAGATTCACTATTTGGATTGTGATGATGATTTCATGGGTATATGCATATGTCAAACTTTATCAAGTTGTACATTTTAAATATGCATAGTTCATTTTGTCAATTAAAACCCAATAAAGCTATTTTAAAAATAAATGGTGAAAGGGTATGTGCCAGCCTTTGGAAATACCATGGTAAATAATAAGAAACAAATTCCACTTTGGGGAAGTTCAGAGTCCAGCAAAGGAGACAGATGGATCTTCAATTAAATAGAGTAACAAATCAGAGTGAAAACTAGTATGAGGGGGAAAAAAAGAAACTATTGTGGAAGAACTGACTTTTTCTGGGGGGTATAAAGGAGAGTTGCAGCTACCATCTGTGATATTTACCATATGCCAGGTACAAAATGCACCAACCTCTGTAAATCTAATAACCATTAGGCATGGGCTGCCATCATGCCCATTTCACAGGTGAGGAAGTAGACTTTGAATCCAGAGAGACAAGTACCAGAGTCTGTGTTCTGAATCACTAATTTCTATTCCTCTCTGAGAAATACCTCATTCGATCTGGACCTTGGAAGACATCAAATCACCCCAGAAAGAGAAGCCGATTTTGGGCAAAGAGGGCAGTGTGAACACTGACTATAAAAACGTACTATATTTGAAATATACATACTTGAAATATAACAAGAATTTCCTTTGGGTATATTTTGGGGGTGATGGGAATAGAGGTCGGAAAGGTAAATCAGGGCCACAACGTGAGTGACCTTGGCCCATTTGCTAAATTTCTTCAGACAAAAGGGAAGCACTAAAGATTTTCAAACAGAAGGATAATAGAGAAGCTTTTAGAAAGAGAATTGGAAGGCAAGAGAAAATCTTCCTGTCTGCAGTTATGTGAACACCAGGCAGATTCTACAAGAATCCCTTCTCAAACAACAGGCCACAAATATTGCACTGAAATCACATCAAAAGATTGGTTTACAATAGATTGATCAATGGAACAACAGATCGGGCTACTCTGTAAAATTACATTTCAGACTCAGAATGTTTTATTCTCCAGTGCTGACTTCTGTCATTATTCTATTTCCATATATGAACTGGTACATTTTTACCGGACATAAAAATCATAGAAAAACACAATCAGAAGACAGAGAAGCTGACCCTGCTCAGAATTAGCCCAAGTTTGCTTGTTTTTACTGGTTTAAATCAGAAGCCCCATGAAGCCACTTTTACTTTTGTTTCTTATAAAAGTGAGTTTTTACTTCCTCCTCTATTCACATTAGATGACAAACTCCAGATCTGGAAGACCACCCAAGGTCTACCTCCGGACAAGCTGCTGGCCACAGGGTCACATCTGACAATACTGGAAGAGAAACACTTTCCTCCAGTGCCTTCATAGGAAGTGTTAGTAAATCCCATAAGTAACAGCATTCTTCTTGGTGGAAAATTATTAACTAGCCACAGGCAATTCACACCTTCCATGGGAGGTGCAAAGAGAAAGCTTATATGCACTTTCCTTGGGTTTCCTTAAGGGAACATGGTACAAAAATAAAGCATCACCCTGAAGCAGGACATAGCATTAGCAAGAAAATCAAATGTTTAGACACCCATGGAGACCTGAATATAAAAACAGGAAGTCCCTGGAAGGGATCTTATGGGAAAAATAAATCAGGCCAAATACTCAAAAATCTCAGTTTATAGTCTCAGTTCTGCCACTGACTCATTGTACTACCTCAGGCAAACTCCTTAATTCTCTATTCTGAAAAATGATACAATGCAACCTACTCATTCCCAGCATCCATAAGCAAGTCATCATGTTTCAATACATTCAACAAAAATTTATAGAGAATCTTCTATGACCCAGGCAACATCAACAGGATAGCAGAGTTAGACTACACATTTCAATTTCTATTCCAGCACATTCTATTAGTGTTGTTCAAAGTTGCCCGGGGATACCTGGAGGGCTTGTTAAACATACAGGTGTCTTTTCATAAAGTGAAATTCTGATTTAATCAATCTGGGGCAACCCCTCTAGATCTGCACTTTTAAGCTGGATGCCCCTAAAATTCATATGATCATACAACTTGAGAAACATTATAGCATACAAAATTCTGAAAAAAAGTACTATTTTCTCTCATTTCATTCTTTCTACCTCTTAAAATAGGGTAAAATATTTGAAAAAAATTTTTAAGATTTATTTTTATTTATATAAGAACTGGGGTAGAGTCCAGAGACACGGGAGGGTGAGAGAATTCACCAGAGACAGAGCAGGGAGCAGAACAGGCAGACAACCGAAAACACTGCTGAGGGTAGCAGCGGGTGCGACAGGAGAGGTCTGCCGCAACATGTGGTATCTCCCTGGCCGGCTGGGAATTGAACCCGTGCTGCAGAGGCTGCGGACAGCTTCACAGTGCTGAGCTCAACCCACTGCACCACAGGGGGGGCCCTGAAAAAATATTTTTGATGGATAAAATTTTCCCTATGCAAACTCTCAAAACATTTATAGCATACGGACAATGATTTCAGTTAGAACCAGTAAATATTATTTCCTTTAGAATTTTCCAAATCTTTCAGGCTAGTCTCTATTTGCTAAACACAGCCTATTAGTATTTTGCTGTGTGTCCCTGGAAAAGTGAAATAAAGTCTTTCTATCCCAATTTACAATGAGACTCAAATACCACCATCCATTAGATCATATTTCCCTAAATAAGCAATATACCCTAGATCAGTGCTTAGTGGATGGATAGACAGATGAAGGGATAGATGGATAAGTGAGTGGATGAATACATGGAAGGATGGATGATTTTTTAAATATGTGAATGAATGAATTCTGCCTGATGACCATTAGAAATTGATGCTAGTGTTAGAAATATAAAATCTTCAGGGGCCTCCCCAGCGGCACAGATGTTGAGTGCTATGTTTCGAGGCTGCCCGTAGCCTCTGCAGTGCCAGTTCGATCCCCAGCCACTGGCGAGGGTCCCACATGGCTCATAGACCTCCCCTGCAGCGCCTGCTGCTCCCCTCAGCAGTGTACTTCATCAGTCTGCCTGTTCTGCTCCCCACTCTGTCTCTGGTGAGTTCTCTCACCCTCCAGTGCTTCTGACTGTACCCAGTGCTTGTATAAATAAATAAATCTTAAAAATATATATATATTAAATCTTCAGCAGAAAAGTTCAGTAAAAATTGTCTTATTTTGTATAATAATCTAGAGTAAAAACTATACAGAAACATTTCAACATCCCATCTCTCCTCCTCCCCCAGGAGCCTTGCGTCTACTTGACTTACTAGTTCTACCCACGTGTGGTAGGATGTTTTGTGCCGCCAACATCTCACTCACCTCTCTCCACAACTGAGGTGACATATGTGGCCCCCTAAACGTTCCACCAGGAAGTTTGGGGGGCAGCTAGTTAAGAGGGGGCTCCCAGAGCAGATGGAGGAGTTGAGACACATGAGGTCACAGAACTACTGCCTCTCCCCCTTCAAAAGAAACCACTCGCTCCATTTATTTCAGAACCTAGAGGAAGTTGACAAAGTGTTGTAGCAGCACAGTGCACTATGTGGTGGAGAGTCTACTGCTTGCTGATTTGGTTCCCCTTACAAGGTAAGGACTCTGACTTAATGTTTTTGATGTTCAGTTGACTTAATGTTTTGCCAAATCAACCTATCAGTAGGTTGCCTGCATTCATGGAGGATGGATGACAGAAGACAACCCAGGTAAGTTTGCTCACACCTCCAGACCAAGCCAAAATTATGATTCTGGGGGATGGTACTACCTTTATTTAATCTTTTGGTCAATCGCTAAAGGGTATAGGAAGTATGTGTTTCTGGGGGAATCTATGTTATGGCAAGATGTAACAAGCTTATTTGGCTCTATCTTTAAAGGGTGAACTGTCTTTTGAGGATATATCAGTTTTGCATTTTAAAAAATCCTTGCTATATAACCTTAGCCATTTCTCTGAAACTCAGTTACTATATCTTGAAACGAAGATAACAAGACTTGATCAAACTCCCTGGGTTGTTATAAGGGTCCAATTTCAAATGTGAAAATACTTTGAAAATGACAAAATGTTATGTAAGTCTTCATTCAGAAGTAATAATAGAAAATAATAATGAAAGATAAGTTTTCTTTATTTTCCCAGAGTCAGTTAAACTTTACACTTTTTCATAGTTCTCAGATCTGATTTTTAATGCTAATTCTAAATTGGCATTATGAAAATTAAAGACACTGTGGCCTTTTGACACAGGTTAGATTATCTCTACCCAAAAATAGAAGCAGAGATGTAGGTGACCCTGAGCCTGATTTTATCTTGTGTCAGATTCTTGCAAAAGAAATCACACATAAATATACTGCTTGCTTGTTGTGTGTTTGTTTCCAAATACTAAGTCTGTAGTTAGATTTCAGGTAAGGTCCTATCCTCAAAATCAACATCTGCCATACCAGTGTTCCAAAAGGATGCCAGCAAACAAAAACTAGATTTCCTATTTTTACATAATTCAACTTCCTATTTTATATGCTTCCATTAGTGCCTTCTTTTTTGGTCCCTGTACCCTGAGGCACTTTATAAAGATTCAAGTTTGGTAATAAATAATATTCATTTCTTTAAAAAGGAGATTAAAGAATCACTAATGCATTCAGAAAGTACTTTTAGAAAGCTAAAAGAATGTTTTCAATTATTCCAAAGATTAAAATAAAACCTTTAACTGACCTTAACCTTTTTAGGATTCGAGTTACCTTCTAAAAATACCTCACCAATATAAGTTTTTAAATCAAGGCAGCAATAATCATGTCTTACAGTAAGCCTAAAAACTAGTCTCTAGTATATATTCAAATACTATCTATAAAAAGGGGGATAAATGTGTTTATTTTGTCAGGCATCATGCTAAGCACTTTATGGTAACTATTTTAATACTAGCAAAGATAGTGAGAGAAGTGTTAGTATCCCCTATTTACATATGAGAAAATTGAGTTTAAAGTAGTAGATAATTGCGCAAATTCCAAGTTTTTATAGTAAGTAGCAACATAAACATTGATTGACCTGCAAAACACATAGTAAAGATATCTCAAAGTTTTAAAGAACGTTTGTATCTATGTGTTGTGATGGAAAATGAGTTTCTTAATGTGGATCAAAAGTTTAAAAGCCACTGGTTTCTACAATTTGGAAGATTCATTATGAAAAAAATCCCAAGTTAAAAACTCATCAAAAGGGCTCCAAGAAGGCCTCCAGACTTAACAGAATTTGGCATTTGTCCATTCTGACCTAACACTGCTCAGACCTGTCAGAGTTCCAGATTTGGGGGGAGGGGAGCTGAGTGTGTGATTTTCTCGTGACCAAAAAGGACAGCAATCAGGAGTGTTGGCAATAACAGAATTTGTCAACTTTTTTTTAATGAACTGAATCATAGGAAGATCACTCTACCTTCTTCTAGAGTAAATTTTATGGCTACTAGAAATTGAGAGACAAAACCAGGCCCATAATCTTGGAGTCTGTCCCTTTTCAAGGCAACTACTGACCAAAAAAAAAACAAAAAACCAAGGCCCTAGGGTGGGTAAAAACACTCTAAGAATAAAGAATTTTTAAAAATTCATTCCATTTACCTATATCAGAGAAGATGAAAAGCTACAAATTTCGACCCCCTATTCTGGTTATTTAGAAGGTAGGATGCAGGAAACAAAGAACATTTCTTTCCACATTGGCTGAGGGCCTGCTGCTCCTTCCTTTGACCAAGAAGTCCCATCTGTACCTGTTGACATCTTGAGACAGATTCCTTAAGCTATATGGGAAGTGATTTGATTTTGACCAAATCGTTCATTTTCACACTGGTTGTTCTCACTATTGATTCTAGCGAATAATAATAATTACCCCTTTTTATAATGATTAAAATTGAAGCACCCTTTTGTCTACCACCTCATAGTGATCATGGACACAGTGTTTATTATTCAATAGCATTACAGAGCAAAGTTAGCAGCCTATTGAAATATTTATCATTGAATATAGGCACTTACTCATTTTTAGTCATTAAGACGCAAACTCTTGAGCAGGCTCTGGGAATATAAATTGAATGAATGGCAAGAAACTTTTCCATGATGAGTCTGCAATCTATCCATGGGCATACTTGTAACCAGATAATTATAAAGTCACATGTTAAGCGCTATCATAGAAGACTAGCCAATGCCTTTGGGGAAGAGAAAGTATGACACTGTGGTGAGGAAGGAGGCTAAAGCCTTGAGCAGGCAGATTTGACAAAAGTGTGCTTTGAGTTGTGTCTAGGAGGAGGTAAGAAAGGTATTCTAGGCGTAGAAACCAGTGTGGACAAAGGCAGTATATCTGGTGGAGCCTCAAAATTCTTGAAAACAGCAAGTGGCCATGTTCGCTAAGCTTCTGGAAGGGAGAATCTGCAGATGACACTGGGGGAGAAGAGAGAAGTCAAGTTGCCTGGAATTTGGGTTTGATTCCTACAGGCAATAGGAGCCAAGGGCCTACTGTAATGAAGGAAGAGATATGATCAAATTTATGTGCTTAAAAATTCATGTTATAGAAGCAGATGAGGATGGTAGATTAAAGATATAAGAGACCAGAAGGAAGTGATTGCAATGACCTAAGGGAGGAAAAAAAGGGGGCAGCCTCAACGAAGGCAGCAATAGTGAACAGAGAGGAATAAGCTGATTAAAGGGTGCTGTTGGAGAAAGGAGGCTGGGGTGCCTCTCAAATATCTGGTCCTTACTGGTCAATGGTGATATTAATTAATACAAGGAAACCCTGGAAGGAAGCAGATGGTCTATCTATGTTAGGAGTGCATGTAGCATAGGAACAGAGAGTTGATGAGTTCAAATTGGACACGCCAAGTTTGAGGTCCCTCCAGAAGCATGTAGGCAATAATGGGGCTACCGGGGAAAGGAAAAGAAAGCTTTACTCTTTCTTCAACCTACTGTGATGACATTAACTGTGATGAAGAGGTGGAGCTCACACACTTCAAATCCCAAAACCTTGGCGAAAAGCAAGGCATCTTAAACATTGCACGGGATTTGTTTATGTGAACTTCGGTAGGTGACTGTGGCTACCATTTCCCCTTTTGCTGAAGTATCAGTCACATGCTTTGACATGAAGCTGTTCCACGGATAGGACTATTGTTCATGGGGCTGGGGGCTAAGATGACAATGAACGTCACAGATTCCACCTCTATATATACAATAATCATAATTTGTATGTCCACACTCAACTAGCAGCCTCATAATAACATATAGCCACACATGGATAGATGAATCCAGTCACAGAGTAATACCCAAACCCAGAACTCAATATCCCACCCAGTTAACAGGATCACCCAGGAGTACATGATCATAACCTCTCAGGAAAGACACCACTATCATTTGTTGCCAAGCTCTGTTGTCTCAGCATTTCTGAGCCACATAGGGATCGTTTTCAGACTGGAATTCTGAAGCTTAGATGGGAAGAACAAGTAGGCACCAGGCACTCAGGATCTACACAAGAAAGGCAGAGTGGGTAGGATACACGTGTCTTTAGAGCCTGCAGAGGAGGAAGTGGTGAGCAGAGAAGGTACCCCACACTCCACTCCTCTGAGAAAGAAGGTGAAAGTTCGACTCCAAACTTAGATTAAAAAAAAAAAAGTAAAAGATGAATTCCTGTCTAGTTTTCAATAGCAATGAGAGACAGGGGAACGTTTCCTTAGAAGGTGTGCTATTGCACTGAGGCATAGTTATCCTCTTTTTCTGGCATTTAACAGGACCATGAACACTGAACAATATTCTGAAGCACAATAGCTGCAGCAGTGTGGGCTGTGGCTTCTCATTGGGGCTAGTCATTCTTTTCTTGCTACTGTGATTTCCTGTCTCTAAATCAAACATGGGGTCGATATGTTCACACTACAAGAGAAACAGGCCAGTGAAGCCAAAAGCAAAACATTTGGAGCAAACCATTTGGAGAAGAAACCTATATTCTATGCTTCAGACTCAGCCTTTTCCCTCTGAAATTCAGGCAGAAGTCACTGTGGTTCCTCTGATCGGCAGCCTGGTCCTGAATTTCAACCACCAGAACCAGCATTCTTTAGCACAGACCATGCTAAAAAGCCCAGCTACAATTCATTATAATGTTTCAGACATTTATAAGTGTTCAAAGAGACTATTTGACTCAAAAGCATGCATCCCAAGAAAAAAACATATACATCTTTAAAATGGGAGGCATTTATTTCTATAGTTGAACCTCGCCACTCCATTCCCCTCAAAGACAAGCTTCCTAGTGTCTAAACCATCATTTTAAAACAAAGGTGAGGAGGGCCTCCCTGGTGGAGAAAAGAGTTAAGCAACGCACTATGAAGCAATCTGCAGCCTCTGCAGCACGAGTTCGATCCCCTGCCAGCCAGGGAGAAACCCACATGGCAAGGCAGACCTCTCCTGTCTCACCCGCTGCTCCCCTCAGCAGTGTGTTTCATCAGTCTGCCTGTTCTGTTCCCCACTCTGTCTCTGGTGAATCCTCTCACCCCCTGCACCTCTGGCCTGTACCTCAGGTCTTGTAGGCATAAATAAATAAATCTTTAAAAAAAAAAAAAAAGCAAAGGTGAGGATTTTGGCAAACTTTTAAGTGTCCAAATCTGTCTTAAAGGATGAAATTGGGATGTGTTGCTTAACACTCGTCTTTGCTATTGATTCAGTGCAGTAAGTCACTCTGGCTCCCAGCATTCTTAATAAAACAGAAGAGCAAAGGAATCTGCCCATTGCCAGCACTATACTGCCATGGTGAAAGCTGGCACCAAACCAGTGCTTTGCAAGCTCACACCATGATATTTGTCCATCAGGAATAAATTTTAGAGAAATAGCAAACATAGACACTCTAGAAACAAAAGTCTCTTTGAAGGAAGCAAGACAATGCACAAGACCTCGAGAGTAAGGCAAGTAGCATAATGGAATGATTATGGAAGCAATGGAAGCTACTTCTGGATTCAAACTCTTGACTCAGAAGCTGCTTAACCTTAGAAAAAATTCCATTGTCATTTCAAAGCACCTCTACTAATATTACTCATATTTACTCAATTACAGGTTGGTTTTGTATGTGATGAAAGTCACAAATGACCCAACCTAAGCAGAATCCTGTCCTAAAGCCTCAATGCTTTATTGAAAACAGCCTCTTTTTATTGACTCCTCCTTGTTCATTATGATGACATGGATATTTTTCCATTAGAATTTGAGTAAACTGTTTTCCCATGAAAGTCAATATGAATACAATACAATAATTCTGGGCTATTATTGCTGGAGGCTAGGTTGAAATTAATGACCTAGGAATGAAACAACCAAAAAATCTACACCAATTAATTCCCAGAGCTCTCCAAGTCATTTTTTCCTATTAGTTGAAATGCAACACAAGGAAATAAAGTCCCTTCTTCTTTATTTATTTTTAAAATATAAGGTTTAAGGTTATACAGAAAAGCTCATTACATTTGCTATTCAGGATTTATAATCCCACAGTAGTCTGTTTGTGGAAATGTTTTTGTACTTTCATTGATGAGAACTGTTTTGTCCTTGAGGGGAAATTCCTTTTTTAGTTTAAAACTTGAAGAAATAACACATGGCAATAAATGCACCCAATCAGCAGTAAAACCAATTTATTTCTCTATCAATTTCCTTTTTAGGAGGGTAAATTTGCAGCTGCTTAGAATCAATTGTTTATCATTGGCTGGGGGTTGTGATTTGGGAAAATTAGATTCTCACGTTTGCCTGGTGAAAGTACTGCTGTGAAATATTAAATTGGAAGATCTTAGAACATCCTCCCTCTGGGGCAGAGACTCATCTGCAGGTGGGGCTTGATGCTGCCTGGGAAAGCATATCTGTGTTGCCCAAGAGCAGTGCAGGTGATAAATTCTGTTTTAGAACCATGGATCTGTGACTTGGACTTGAAGATACAAGTTGCCCACTTAATAAACTGAGGCCAGGAAGACTGAGCTTTCTGGGGTCTCATTCTTTAGAGTGTCCAACTCAGTGACATGAGCATGGAGTTGGAAGCCCACAGACCCGAGCAGAGATTCCCAGATCCAGGGTGTAGAGCGAGCAAAATAGGGTGAGTCTGAAAGTTAAAAAGAATAACATAGTCTGCAGTTCCCAGCTTAGGACAGAACAAGTACTCAACAGATGTTCTACTCTTCCCTTCTTTCCTATCAGAACCTACCCCTTCAAGACCTCCTTCAAGAGCCACAAACATTGCTCACATTTATGGGCATTAAGTTATGGTTCATTTTTGTGAGAAAAGTATAGCAAATGATCAGATGAATAAACCAGGTGGTGTTGAGTCTAAGACCCGACCTCAACCCAGGAGAAAGCTGACTGACACTCACTCTCTTCCTTTACAGAGGCCTTTCTGACTAACCACACAGAAACCATCACTGTGGAGGAAGGTCAGACGATCACTCTCAATTGTGTGGTTTCTCAGACCATGACCACCTCCCTAGAGTGGGTGGCTCCTTCTGGATTCACCATTTATTTAGACGATCGTCCTGGTAAGTGAAAGAAATATAGATTGTCACCAGTCCTAACCTGAGGGATTTTCCAAACAGGCTGGTGGGACAGAAAGTTTGTATGAGTCACCCCAACAGTGGGCTTGGCCCCACCTACTGCTTCACGTCAGTCATGCCTAGGAGGCTGTTCTTTCACACTTGGCTGCTTTTTCTGACAGGAAGTCTGAAATGGAAACCCCACCAGAATGGCTGGTAAAGGGGGCGCAGATCATAAAACGTAGTTCCATAACCCCCTGTCACCCCCACGTCACTCTGACTCTCAGTGGCCATGAAACCACCAATGACAGCACTTTGACAGGCAGCAGACTGGTGGGGGTTTATCCTCACGCAGCCAACACAGTCACCCCCCCATCAGGAGCCAGCTGCTCCACTTCCCAACTGAGCAAGCCAAAGTCACATCACAAGACTCCCTTCCAGATATCTCCTCTTCTGTTGGTCTTAACATAAAATCAAGATGACAGAGTGATAGGAACCTATAGGACTTATTATTTTGCAAAGGAGGACGCATTAAAGCACATTAAATGAGACCTAGACCTCAGCAAATGCCTGATAAAAGGCACTTTTTTTTCCTTCAGTTTTACTGAGCTATGACACATGGCACTGAATTGAGTTCAGGTATACAACAGAGTTGGTAGGTGCATATACTGTGAAATGATCGCCACAGTACATTCTGTTAGCAACCATCCCATCACATAATTATGTATTTTTTTTCTGTGGAATGGCATTCTTAAAAATCCATTTAGTTTATCTCTTTGGGCAGGATTTTACTAAATCCTTCCCCTTCATAAATGAGTCGATTTTATCTTCATTAAATATCCCTAACTGCCAAATACTCAGAAAGGTCTCCAAACAGCAATTTTATCTCCTTTGTTAAAGCAGAGCCTCTAGAAAAGTTGATGTGCTTGGAAAACATTATTAAGCATTGATATGTTAAATGTAAAATAACTAAAGTCTTTCAAGTTAAATCTACTAACACTCGATTATAGAATCAGTACATACTAATTGCTAAAAGCAGGAAAAGAATGAGAGATAATTTTGTTAAATAGCTCTTTCTGTGATTTTGTTTTTGGCAAACTGGAAGATCGACATTCTCAAATTTCTCCAGCAGAATGCCTTGATCTACCTTGGTGGTTCTCAACTGGGGGTAATTTTTACCTTCAGGGGACATGTGGCAATGTCTGGAGATAGTCTGTGTTGTTATAACTGGGAAGGGCAGTGGTGTGGGGTGGGAGGGCTAACATCTAGTGAATAGAAAGGCCAGAGATGCTGCTAAACATCTTACAATGCACAATAGAACCCCCACAACAAAGACTGTGGGCTCAAATGTCAACACTGTTGAGGTTGAGAACTCCCAAATTCCAGCTCAAGCAACATCAGTGTCCCAGAACACATAGCCATTGTTCCCAAATGAAAAACAACCTTCCTTGGTCAGTCATTTAAGATTTAAACTACTTTAGCCTTGTTCACATTATAAACCTTAACAGCAAAAAAATAAAAAACAAAACCACTCATTTCAAGAGTCTCTGATTGGCTAAGGGGCCATTGTTTTGACCTAAGATAGAAATCCCAGGTCAATATAGGATCAAAAAGAACACTAGTTACTGGCTGGAAATTTCCAGAACTTTCCAGAACCCTGGAGGGCCCTAATCATAATCTTTGAGAAAGATCAAATAATGAACTTTTAAAAATTAAAAATAAGAATCCCCAGTTCAAGCAGTGCATTTATCTTCTATTCTTCATATTTGTTATGACAAGATGACCTCATATAATCAGACTTCAAACAGGTAACAACCATTGGACATTTTTCATGATGTAAAAAAAAAAAAAAAAAAAAACTGTTGTACACCTAAAATTAATTCAACTGCAACTGAGCCCTTCATCAATGTAGTGTTCCTAATTTCCTACAAGCACAAATAAAGCAAATTGTTCATTTCACAGATCCCAGTATCAAAATATTTCCTTTCCTACACTAGCTTCAAGTTACTGAGAGGCATCCAGCTGGTAACAGAATTTGAAAGGCAGCTCAATCAAGGATGTGACATTTGTTCCTTTCAAGTGTGAAAATCAAAAGCTATTCCTGTGAGGAATCAATCCATGGAGAGTCTGTATTTGTCTGATGCCTTTCCTCATTAACAGCCCTCTTTCCCTCTTGCACAGGTTTAAGGAATTCCAAATACCAGATTCTTCATCATTCCACCTATCAGTTCTCCATCACCGTGCATAATGTATCCCAGGAAGATGAAGGCGTGTACAAGTGTTTACATTACAGCAGCCCCGTGAGAACAAAGGAAGTGAAACTGATAGTGATAGGTAGGTACCTGAGAGCCAAGGAGCCAGGATGCAAATGATGGATTTAGGTACAAAATGTTGCCTAAAGTAAGGCATTTCCTGGGTGCCATATTTCCTCTGCCATCTTGTGCTGAAAGGAAACAGAATAGCACTGATAGGGGCAAGACTCAGATACAAAGGCAAATTTATAAAATTCATCTTTGGCATCTGCTGAGTTTTTTCTCCAAGGAACTAAAAGGAAAGAGACTTAATATTTGGTGGGCTGCAACTATGTGCCACTAGATGGCGGCTAGGGAATCGCGATGAATCAGCCACAGTCTCTACCCATAAGGAGATTGCACACTAGCTTAAAGCGAAATGTGTATATAAATAAAGCAAAACTCATGGCAGGTACAATGAATTCAGATGAAACTGCAGTGGACACCAGCTCACATCCTCTGCCACAGCAAGTTCCTCTCTTTGTATGTGGCGCTGGGAGGTGTGGACAGGAAGCCGCAGCTGCCTGATCTGCTGTCACTTAGTTCTGCAGATGGTCAGCTATGATCCCTTTCTTGTGTGTGACCCAACAAAGCCATTAAAACCATTGCTTTCTACTGATCTCGAAACAATATAATCCTACATATCACGGAAAGGAATTTCTTAGACTTCTCTTGTTGAGTTCGTAGAGACTAGTGTCTACCATAAGGTAAAGGCAAAGTAGCTCAGGAGGGGCTCTCTGAAGATCTGGTTACCAATGAGACCCAGCTGGGGAGCTGTCTTCTCCTCACCTTACTGGTCACCCCCAACACTACTATAGCTTAGACTGGTTGTGTGCCCTTTGGGGCTCTCACAGTATCCCAGGCACACCCTTTATCTTTGTACTTAAAACACTCTCTTAAGTAACAGTTTAGGAGCTGACCTATCACCAACTAGAAGCTCCTTAAGGGACCATAATTTTTTCATATCTAAATCATCAGCATCTAAGGACCTAGTGCACACTTGGAACTGACTTACATGGTGTCTCAATGGCAGGTGGATGTGGAAATCAATGTGAAAAAGCACGGCTTGCTAGCAGTAAGAATAGATGGGAGAGAGGAAGGAGTAAACCTAACTAAAAAATATTCCCAAGACAGGAGTAGGAAGCCAAAAGACCAATGGGCCTTTTATAAGAGAAATTCATCTGTGATGTTAGGAGGGGACAGAAGTAATTTACTTTGAGGTGAGTCATGGCCTCAAAAGTTTAGAGCTAAAAAAGGCAACTCATAAGCTAGCTCCTTCATGTCACTGATAAGGGAAATGATATGCTAAGAAGCTGGGGGATGCACTCAAATTCTTACAACTTGCTGGGGTCAGAAATGGGACTAGAACTCAAGCCTCTACCTAGTGTTTTATCAATCTAAGGCAGCCCTAGGTCATATTTAAGAATTGTTTTTATAACATACCTGGAATTTTCAGGGACTAATGACCCACTGGGTAACAAACATTCTATCTGTAGCTAAAGTAGCTTTACAAACACATAAAAGCAGTTGCATTGTATTCTGGGAAAAGCCAATTAAAAAAATATGCCCATTAATTACATGCCAATTATGAGACACGTGATATCTACAGCTTATAGGCTCTGTGCTTTGCTAAAAGATATAAACCAGCAAATTAAACACAAGAAAATCAAATTTCTTCTAGCAACTCCTTTCAAGCCAACCCTGGAATATTCAGTTAACAGAACGCAAAATGGAGAAGAACATGTTATACTTAAATGTTCCACCACGAGAAGCAAGCCCCCTCCTCAGATAACCTGGCTCTTGAACAACATAGAGATCGATGGTAAGTAGAAACACGGTTCTCTTTCCTTCTTTGTTTTCCTTCCTACTTAAATTTCCAAGGGATTTTTAAATGTTCTAGCACCCCCTAGTGGCATGAAGTGCCAGAAAAACACCATTCAATTTATCAGTAATCTATCAGTTCTTTTCCAAATTATCTTTATATCCTAATCAGTATTATACTTTAATATTTAAGGGATAATTAAAAATAACATTACATGTTTTTGATTAAACCAAGCTGAAAACCTAAAATGGAATAGTATAACCTCTTAAAATTTGACCAAATTTCATAAAAGATACCAGATAGCTATTTCTCTGAGTGTAAACATTTTAGCATAAAAATGAAAATAACATTTAACATAATACAAGCAACCAGAACAGATACCATCTTCCTTATATACTGTAGAGCCCTGTTACACCTCCAGTGATGAATACAAATATTATAGTAACAAAGAATCTAAACTGTCAGCCTTTGGATTGATACAGGGTAACTAATTGTCATGCTTGGGAACTGTTTATAATTTGTTTACATTTCAAGAGACATTACAAAGGATTTTACATAATCATAGATTCTTACAGCTGGAAGAAGCCCTTTATAGTTGAGGAAAGAGAGGGCCCATGGAGTTCTAGAGAAAAATGACATAAAAACTCAGATCTAATTCTCAGGCCAGTGCCTATTTTATGTCACTAAAGAACTCGGCCTTAATTTCCCTATTCATTCCACAGGAGTAGTCTTGGAGTTTTATTTCACAACATCTTCAGATTATCCTTCCTACCTGACTATGGAGAGCTTGCTTATCTTTTTCAGCAGTGAAGAGTTTACAGAAACCTACAGTCTGTCCAGCATCTTCCCTTTGTGACAAAGTTCTAGAATAAGATTAGAAGTCAAAATATTTTGTCTAGATGTCAAGGTTAGCAGACTCTCAAAGGACCAACCAATCCAAAGCAAGAAACCGCCACAGTCTCACATACCTCTTTATATTGCTCCCTAGGTAAAACTCACCGGGAATTTGAAACTGATGGGAAGAAATGTAATAGCACTAGCACACTCAAAGTCCACGCCTATAGCAAGAACTCCAAGGTGGACTGCATCATCCGACACGAAGGTCTGCAGGGTGGCAAACTGGTCGAACCATTCCGGTTTGAAGATTTGGGTAAGAACTGATGATTATCTTTAATCATTTTTAATTCATCTTAATATTACACTATCAAACAAAATTTAATGGAGTGGCAATAGTCTTTCAGAGCGAGATGACTGTCAATAAAGCTCTCCTTAATAGCACATTCCTTTAATGATGGAAATGTCTCCAGCTGCACATGAGGGCTATAACAGGGCCAACATTTCAGTTGTACAGAAAACCCAGCAGAGCACCACATGCAAAGACTGTCCGGTTTGCTTTGAGATAATGACAGTGAGTATAACTTGACCTTCATTAGTTTTACTGAGTCACATTTTTGGAGAAATCCCATAAAATGGACCAAATCTTTGTGCTTAACACAAAGAGGGATAACATTAACTCAAATAAATCTAACCTTGTTGATAACATTTTATGCTACTATAAAAGCCACATCAAGTCACGCTTGCTCCTTAGATTTATTTTATCATGCTTGTTTTGATTAGTTTAGCCTAGCCATTTGAACAGTCTGAGAACACCAACAATAAAAGTAACATAAAAGTAAAACACCAGCTATTCAGTAGGAAGAGGTGCTGGCTCCATTTTCACAATCTCTGTTCTCTGATTCCTTCATCAAAAGTTAAAGCAATAGTTTTAAAACCGTATAAAACTTTTTGAGCCAAAAAGTAAAATATAAGAAGTAGCATGAATCACAAGTCTACAATGAATAGGAATCTGACCTTCATTACTTTCTATAGTAAATCTCGGTGTAAAAAGAGATTCCTAAAGTACAAGGATTTCCTTCTACTAGTGAAGGAAGAAACTGTCAGATGGCATCCACTGTGGGAAAAGCTCTTTATCAAATGCAATCGCTGATAATGAAAGACTTTCATTAACCAGAACCTCATTGTAGGAACACTGTGTGGGGTGCTGTGGGGCTGCTGCTGTGGTTAACAGGTCCCCCCACTCACCACCACGTGCCTTCCACAGGTCACTTTCTCATCAAACCAGAAGTAGCTACGAGGAAGGTGCACTCAGAACAGTCAAGGACCCACAAAAATCTGACACAACTATTCCTACTTCTTTATGATTCATTCTCCCCGCCCCCCAGCCTCCACCCCCATCTGTGAAATGGTGTATATGGCAGGTCGGGGGTGAGGGAGGCTCACCAAAGAGAAAATGAGACTTTGTCTATGTAAATGCTTCTCTGAAAGTCATTAAGATTCTTAAACAAGAAAAGCATCAATACTGAAAAATATATACATATATTTATCCCAAGAACTGTTCAGGTCTTCTACAAGGTTCTATATGACTCAAAATCACAATGATAAAATGTTTCAAATATTAATAATAGGTTATGATTTGACTTTTAATTGTGACCTATGAATGATCTAACGCTCACAGCCAGATCTCTAGTAAGTTTTCAAAGAGGAATTCCAGGATCAGCTGTTCATGACTTTTTTCTCTTTGATGAGCTATTATATTGACATGCAGCCATTACAAACTTTTTTTCATCCAATTCATTTTTAAAAGTTCACTAGCTGAGGATGCTTTGAAACAAGTGTACCAGTAAGGATTCTGACCCCTTTCATCTCTACACCCTGCATGGTAGGACCTGGCAAATGAGGATTACACAAGAACCCTAGCTGGGAAGAAGCACCAAGAGAGCTGCCTTCCTTTGCAAAAACCACAGTATTAATGCTTGGAGGAGGAGGCAGAACCACAGAAGTAGACCAGACTTTCTTCATTAGATTTATTTCATTTTTTTAGTATTCCAAATGAAGGACCTTGAGTTTTTATTACTTAGCTGGAGAAGGAAAAAAAATTGAGCAACGTTTCTCAATTTTTTTTTAAATTCAGGAATCCTCTGTACTCCTACAAATAAGTGAGAACCCCAAAGAAATTTTTACAGAATTGTATCTATGGATTTACTAATTAGAGATAAGACTGAAAATTTTATTCATTTCAGAAAGAATTTATCCACTATCAACAGAAATGGCTTATTTTATAGAAAAAAATATATTTTGCATGATCAAAAAGTTAGTAGGGAAAATAGTATTTTACATTTTGAAAATCTCTTTAGTGTCTTGTTTAATAGGAGACAATTAGGTCTTCTTAACTTCTGCATTCAATTTCTTGCAATATGCTGTTTTGATTTAATAACTAGATTCACCCAACTGTATATACTTCCCTCACAAGAGAAGAATATTTTACTAGCCTTTTTCAGGTAGTTCTAGATATTCTTTGATGCTACATGAAAACTCGACAGGAAGTAGTTTCATAAGTTTAAGTTGCTTCGTGGGATTCTGAAACCATGTCAATGAACTTGTCATGTGTTGTAACATTAAAATCCACTGAACAAACTTGCATTTTGATGGATCTTTTATCCAGGGATGATTTTGTAACATCATTTGGGAAATCTCAATTCACTGAGGTATACAGACCTTTCAAATGTTGACACATTTAGCATCAAAAATCCCTTTCCTTGATATTATAGTTTGTTCTCATTACAAATAGATAAGTATATAGAAGCTGTTAAGTTCAGAGTGGTGGATACCAGGTTTTCAAAATTCTAACTTGAAATGGCTAGTGCAAGTGAGAAACTAAATTGTTAATACTATCTAATTTTTTTATTTAAATAGTATATCTAGTGGATATTGTATTGCACAGTACAGGTCCATAACATTCTAACCAAGTAGGGAGAGAAATCATAATGTACCAGTATCTACCTAATCAAACCATTCACTGTAAATAAATCTATTTAGCAGCTTTCCAACTGAGAGCATAAATCAAAGGAAATTCAGACTCTAGTTTTAATGTACATAAGTATGCATCCTATTTTGTACATAATACATATTATTCTAGATCATTATGGATACATTTTTTTCTGTGTTCCCTAATATTTCCCCTGTCATGTTCCTTTTATAATTTGTTTCTAATACTTCTATTTGACTAACTTTGAAGACTGACTTTTCATTGCTAGTAACTCTCCTTTTTTCAATTTTTTTCTGGCATCTTTGTGGTCACAGAGCTCATTTTCACCTTATTACTATTTCTCTAATGTTCTTGAAATGTTCTTCCATTTATGATTTTCAAAAAATTTAAATATTTAATAAATTTTCAAAACCACAGAAAATTCTTGGATGAAATAAAAAGCCAAGAAGCACTCTGAAAACATTACCCCCTGTCACATAGCAGGATCAATATTTATAAATTAAAAGGCACCTAATGCCCCCTAGTGGCAGCTCTGTGCATTGCCTGCTGAGACCTGCCCCATACTGAACCCCTAGAAACATTCCTAAACATTTTCTTGTCTTACACAATAGTATTTAGTCAATTTTATGCTGAATAAGTAGCCAGATGTTGAACTGAATACATTCTATAAATGAATACATTAATTCTCACCAAGAAACTCTAAAAAGTAAATGCTGTTAACATCTCCATTTTACAGGTCAGGAAAAAACACCCTTTGTGAGATTGGGCATCTTGTCCAAAACCATTTAGTAGCAAATAAGTAAAATTGGAACTCAACCAATCTGAGCCTGGTTTCAAAGTCACCTAACTAATAGACAAGTAGGAGATACTTATATAGACAGTCAGCTAGAGGGACTGATCGACAGATTGATGGCTACAGAAAGAGACGGCTGATATGCTTTGCCTGCTACTGCCAAATGCACCCTCTGTGGAGGTCCACAGGCAGATTAGCAGATGGACAATCAGCAGGACCCAAATTCAAAAACCAGAGTAAAAGCTACAGAACATATAGTTCTGAGGTTTCTGCAAAACCTCCACAAGCAGGTAGCAGCCAAATACCATCTCTAACCTATTGCACTGAGCACGATGTGGGTAAAATTGCTTTCAGTCATTGCAGAATTTTGCTTTTCCCCTTTCTTAGTCACTAATCAAGAGACAACCTCAGAAGCCCCGGAGAGAAGTTCTCCATCCTCTCAAGACCCTCAGCAGCCCACTAGTACCGGTAAGTGCCTAAACCATGAAACTTAAAATCACGCTTCTTTAGGAAGATCACCTTTCCAGTGCTAAGCTTTAGGAATATTTTTTATTCCATTTTTTAATAAGATTCTACAGGACCTTCCCCTAAAGAACTATAAAGGCAGGAGAAATTAGAAAGCCTCAACTATAACTCTAGTTTCTTGGATAGTGGGCCCCCCTAGATCGCTACCTCTGAGTAATAATCAGATAAATGATTTACCTTTGTATTTTATCGAGTGGAGTATCTGGCAACAGCAGGTACTCAGAAAATGCCATCTGGATGGAAGGATGGATGGATGAATTTATGCATATGTTATGGTACTTTCAGCAAGACAGCCTCATCCAAAAAGCATAAATTCTTACGTGTCCTCTTTCTGTTTCAAATGCTTTCTCAATAATTGCATTTGGTGGGAATATGTTTTCATGTTGTGATCACATTCATAGTTCGCAGACTTAGATCACATAATTTATCCTGGATAACATTTAAAAGTAGATGCTTGTGGTTTAAGAACACAGTTATAGCTGACACAACTACTAAACAGCTCAATCTTCTCCAATTTAAGATTTAAGAAATGCGGTTTCTACAATTCCATTCAGCTTCCAATTTCTACAATTTTATCACTCTAATTCCCGCTCTCAGTGAAATGGGTGACTTCGTTCCCCTCCGAGGCCACAGGGTGGCACTGTGCAATGGCTAACAAACAAGTCAGCAGAGGAGAAAACACAAGCAACAAAATCAGAAAAAGATTTCTCATTTTATAATTCTGCTTACCCCACGAAAACTTTGTCTGTCTAAGGGAAAGGCATGCATGGGCCTGCATGACAAGTCAGCCTGTGTTTCAACATCAAAAGCATTGCTCTGTGCCTCTCAGGAGATTAGGCTTTCTCACCTTAAAGCTGGGGGGGCCACTCATCAGTGTTTGCTTGATACCTTGAAGCATCCTAGAAACCTCACTAAATCAGGAAGGGAGTCTAAAATAATGGTTTAAAGTTGGAATTCTGAGTTTCAGCATTAGCTCTACATGTATTTGCTGCAGGACTTGAGACAATTTGCTCAAATTCTCTAAACCTCCCTTTATCCAGAGCTGTGGGGAGAAATAATATATATACACCAAATGCTCCTTTAAGGCCTGGCACAAAGTAAGTGGTCAGAAAATGTGGACCTTAAAAAAAAAGTTAGTCAAAGTGAGGCTGGCCTTTTGCAACTGTATTTAGAAGTCAGTAATTCAAAAATTATCTGGTTGGACTTTTTAAAGAGACTCAATTTGATTTCCAAAGCTGCTTTGTATATGTATGTGTGTACACACACTATAGTCATAGGTATACACCTTGTCTTTCTTTCACCTTTGTTGCAGTATTGTTAGAGACTGGTACATCAGAGATTGACAAGGAAAAGGAAGAACAAACCACTCAAGACATTGACTTGTCCACCGGTAAGTGTCCCCCCATTTAGAATGAAAACAGTCTTTTAACCTTGGAATCAATAAATCCAAAGGCCTTGTCAGCCCTCATTTTTCCTGACCCTTCTATTGGTTAATGACTCCTATTTCTTGACTTAGTTGCCCCGACTGGCTTCCCTGACACTCTCCCTGGTGCTTTTTCTTTTTGGTAACCATTCCTCTTCTGTGTCCATCAGCTAGCTCCCCTCCCTCATCTCTTTTTTTATATGTCAATATTCTTCTGATTTTACTTATCCATCTTTGGCTCTTTCTTAATTCTTAACGAGTTTGCCTATTCTGAAGATCAATCTTGTTATCACCAGTCAGAAGATTCCCATACATTTATTTCCAAAACATTCACCTGAGCACAAGCCAGTTTCATTTCATTCCTATATACTTCTCTACTTGAACTTTCTGGCATTTCTTCCAACTCAAACTTGCCAAAAAGTAACCGCATCTTTTTCCACAAAATCTACTGTCTAAGGCATCACACAGGTGCAAAACCTCGGTGCTATCCTACACACACACACACACACACACACACACAAACACACACAATCACTCAATTCCCAAGGAGTCTGGAGTTCTCTTTTTCAGGGAGTTTTTCCAGTATCTCCAACCTGACCTGGGCCTTTGTCAGGTTGCTGCATGAAGTATTATAACTTCAGTTTCTCCTATTAGGGTCCATTTCTAGCACCCTACCATCAAAACACCCCTTTGTACTCTTCACACCTGTATTCAGAACACCTCCATGGCTCCCCCAGTCTACACCACAAGCCTGAGCCTTAAGCCCTCCATAAGATGCACTCTACCACCACCCTCCTTCTAGAAAGCCCTGACAAGCCACATTCTTTTCTGCATACTTCATCCAATTTTGATTGTTCTGCCCTTGTTCACCTGAGCTGCCCCATGGGAGGAAAGACCCCAGGGGTGCTCTCCTGACAACCTCCTGCAGGTCCAATATCCTCACTGAAAACCTTCCTGGCCCACCTCATCCCTGGGGCCCAGTCTTGCCCTGAACCCCTGAACACATTATGCTAACACACAGGGGGCCCTCAACCTGGCCTGGGTATCTTATTTCTGTTTGTTTTTATTATCTGTTGACATGTAGAAAGAACTACCCCCTGTCTGTAAGCACGAGGTTTACACACAGCAGGGATAAACCTCATGCCTAGACTACATTTGGGAAGTATTATGTATATTCCTCAATAACCAAAAAAAAGGAGAAAAAAACCCTCCAATTGTCTAACGTCCTTTCATTTTCCTTATAGCACCAAATCCTCAGTATTTGGGACTGGTGAAGAAGAAAAGCGGCATTCTGCTGCTCAGTCTCGTGTTCTTCCTCATTTTCATCCTGTTCATCATAGTCCAGCTTTTCATAATGAAGGTCCGGAAAGCACATGTGGTATGGAAAAAAGGTGAGTGGCAGAGAGCCCTGTGGAGGGCGCAGGGTGCTGAAACAATTGGCTGGGAAAAAGGAAAATCCTGTCGATTAAAGCTTTTCTATATAAATGTGGCATGATCTATTTAGTAAGTGCTGTCATTCAAAGAAGTGATTGTTTGTTTTGCACTAAAGAGAAGATATGAATTTCCATGGACTATGGTCAAAGAGAACGCACCAAGAGAAACTTAGAGCAGCTCTGAGAATGAGCATTAAATTATAGAAGCTTCTATTCACAACAGGATACAAAAGCGACAACGTATCCATTCATTCATTCAGTAAGCATTCATTGAGTACCTACTAAGTGCTAGGCACTGATCTATGTCCTGGGAACACATTTTTCAACAAAAAAGGCCCAGTCTCTACTCTTAAGGAATTCCTCTTGTAGGAGAGGACAATCAAAGGTTGAATATCAGACTGTTTGGTTCCCTTTTAACATGGAAAGAATGAGCTCACTCTCCCTCAACAATAATGTCAGCAATTTATCCTTAAGTATTCTGATTAATAGTTATCATTGGAAACAAAAATAATATGTTGCTAGCATGGAAGTTTCTATTAAAATACATGGACACAAATATATATCAAGCTGGAAGGAACTTAGAAGTAATTCAGAATAACCAGTTGCTCAATTCATTTCATAAATGTGTCCATGAGTAAATCCCCTCTTAATCTGAATGATAATTAAGTCCTGTGCTGTCCAGGATAGTAGCCACTATATGGCTAATGAGACTTGAAATGTGGCTAGTTGCTTTTGAAATGTGCTGTAAGGAAAAGATAAACACCCAGTTTTGAAGACTGAATACACATACACACACAAATATATCTGATAATAAAATCTTGGATTTTTTTATTTTTTGAATGTGGTACTAGGAAATTCAAAATTTCTTGTATGATAGATATTATCATGCACATTGCTGACTTAGTCACATATGATTCAGACACCTACAGTGACTGAGAATTCATTATGTCCCAAGACAAAATACTATGTCTTTGAACAGCTGACCCTCTTGAATCAGTTCTCCTACCTTAATATCAATCTTACTAGACATTAAGATAGATTAATTCTCATCATAAACAGACTGACTTTACCCACTTGATAGGCAAATGCATAGGATTTTTCAAAAAATATCCCATTAATGTACCCTCGTTCTTGAAGGGGTGTTACAATTGTTCCTTCTCGAGGTATAATACATGATTCTAATCTGCTGTCATTTGCCTTCTGAAGCTCTACCTAATACAGTCCTTGTATGAACCATAGTAAGAAATAAAAGCTTATTGAATGAAAACATGAAGGGTGGGAGGGAGTGTTAAGTCCACTATTATAAGAAAACAGAGGTACTGTTCAAACTCACATTTCTATGTATAGATGACGTCTGTGACATGAGAAATGAATAATGGGTATCTTTTCTTACAGAAAATGAAATTTCAGATCACACTGTAGAAAGTTACAGATCAAGGTCAAATAATGAAGAAACATCCTCCCAAGAGAAAAATGGCCAAGGTAAGTCAACTCAGGGACCTGAGACTTGAAAACAAAATCCTTAATTTGTTGCCTTTAGGGGGAGAGTGAAATCAAAGTTGGATTTCTGCACTAGAAAGTCAAGGAAGTGCATCTTAATAAATGAAATGGAACCTGTGAATTCATGCAGCTTAAGGCATTTCCCCCCAGGAGGCCATTGTGGGTCTGTACACCCCTCCCGTCCTGCAGACTATCCCCTACACACACCTTACCAATGCAGCAATTCCACGTTGCATTGTCAATTTTTGGTGTGCTGGTTTAGCTACCAGTGTCCCTTTAGGTAGTAGTTTATTTACTCTGTGTCTCTATACCCTCGCTTGGCACAAATGGAATGTTTGATAAATTTATATTGACTAAATGAATATAAGGGCAAACAGAAATGTTTCAGCATTTTTGGATGATTTCATTGCAATTCCTCAAGCAAAATATGTGAAGGAAATGATGAAGAGTCTAAAATAAGACAGTGAGAGTGAGAGAGTGTGTATGTGTGTGTGTGTATGTGTGTGTGTTATGTACACATACATGCATGTCTGTGTGTGTGTTCTTGACAAAGATTCAGCAGACAGAGATTAAGACTAGAGAAAAGCAGGAATCATTTACCTCCCAACCATTGTTTCCTCCATGCAAATCATGCCAAGAATTGCAAGAAATGCAGTGAGCTTTGCCACTATTATATATTGGTTTGAGGTTTTTGTAGGAAGCTAGTCTTTATAATATCTCTGCCTTTGTGTGTGTGTGTTGACATAGCAGAGTGTGAAATGGAAAGACAGCATAGCAATGCTGGCAAGGAGTGGGGCTCAAGTGAGCAAACTGGGTGAGAACTGGGGTGGGAGAGGAAATTGTAAGCTCCTTGCTCTGCTGCAACCCATGTTCCTGTAGTATCAATCACCCACGCAACTGGCAAGTAAGGAGGAGGATGGTGTCCATATAAACCCTGAACTGGCTCGCTTCCTATGCTGAGCTTCCTATGCAAGGAATCAAAACAATGGGAGTAGAATTAGAATCTCCAGCAGAGAAAGAAAAGTCCTCAGCTCAGCTGCTGAACAAGAAGGCCTTGCAGTCAACTTAGGAACATTTAAAATGAGCATCTGTGCTCCAAGACCCACCCCAGAAAAGTCCATCTCCAGGGACTGTTTGTGGGAGACTGGACTTTCTCCTGGGCTCAGGCCTCGACTCTCTTCCTCCATCCTTCAGCATCCTCAAATCCAGCTTGGTTCCAGCTCTGTTTTTGTTTTTTCAAAAGATAACCTCTGGAGCCACCTCCAGTCCATGTACATGGTTGCACAGGCTTTGAGTGCTCCATCCAGCCCTGTTTTCTTTTTTCAGTTGAGCTCATGTTATTTTAGGAAACCGTATGTGTTCCAGGAACAAAGGTCCACATCTCTTCAAATGAATGCTGCCACACTGCACTCTGTACCAAATACCCACACCTCCCCTCCCCCTTTGTTCTGCCCATCTGGTGACCTCAGTTTTGCAGTCAGAGTCCAAGGGTTTGTTTCAGTTTGGTTTTGTCTGTTCCTTTGGTTTCTTTAAATTCCATGTGCGTTAAATCATCGGGTATCTGTTTTTCGCCTCTCAACTTATTTTGCTTAGCACATTCCCTCCAGGTCTATGCATGTTGCTGAAATGGCAAGATTTCATCTTTATAGCTGAGTAGTAGTCCACTGTGCATATAAACCACATCTTTCCCCACTCATCTGTCCTTGGGCATTTAGATTGTTTCCCTTGCTGGCTGTTGTAAATACTGCTGCAAATGAACACAGAAGTGCATAGATCCCTTCGAATTAATGTTTTTAGGTACTTCTGGAATTGCTGAGTCAAAATGATAGCTCTATTTTTAATATTTTGAGAAACCTCTTTACTGCTTATTTTTCTCATTACTCATTACTCATACTACTACAATTAGTATGAAATTTTACTGAAGGGAATGTGGTTTTCTCAGGCACACATGTTATTGTATGGCAGAAATGTCTGCATGTTATTTTTCAGGCTTAAGAGTATATTGTTTATACAACGAAAGTCTTAAAAATTTAGACTACCACACATCATTCAGACCATTTATATGCATCAGTGAATTTCAGATTTGATTTTGAAAACATTAATATATAGACCTAAAAAAGCATGTACATAGTGTTTCAGACAAATGGGTACAATACTATTTAAAATATTAATCATTCACTTGCTTATCTTTCAGCTCCAAGCTCAAGCTCCAAGGGCTGCATCACCTACATCACTCAGTTGTACTCAGCAGCAAAAACAAAGGCACACCAATCAAAACAGAAGGAAGACCACACCGACATACCAGAGAGCATCGTATAGTTCCCCCGCCCCACCACAACAGAAAACATGATTCCAGAGAAGCTACACCGTCGCCTCGCTGGAGCAGCCTGTGCAAGGAGCGTAATTATTGCTGTAACATGAAAAACATACTCTGAGTGCAATGTAAGGTGGCATCCTCCGATGTAACCTGCCCTGGATCCAGAGCAGCAAAATGAGGACTAAACCATAGACCGCAAGCTTCGTAGTTTAAAAAAAAAAAAAAATAGGAGGGGGGAAGAAGAGCGAATCTATTATGCCTGACACTACTTCAGAGCAAGAGGATTCTACTAAGCCTTGGGCATCAGGGTCGACGTGACCAGCTAACATCTTGGCATAAAGGGAACAGGAATCTTTAGATGCTGGGCTCTAGTGGAACGACTTTTAAAAAATTTATTTTTAATCTTTCCTCTGGTCTCCAAATAAAGAGCTGGGATGTAAATGACCTTTAAAGAGTCTCAGATCCTCGGCTCTTACTTTCAAGATAGACTTTAAAAAGATGTCTCCAGCAAGTGCAGCATCAGAAGGGGCATGTCCTAATGAGAGATTCTGATGAGTGCGAATACCCAAGACACCAGGGTTAGTTCAAGATGGGGCCGAAGATTCAGGTTTTGTAGATTTTCTTGCTAAATCTGCCATATCACAAGTTGATCTGGCAGAGAAAGTTTTTACTAGGATGCTTCATTATAAAACCACGTACAGGAGAAAATAATGAGTTTCGTGTACTAATTATAGATCTAATGGATGCTTTAAGAATTATTTAATAAAGAGCAGAATACATATATGTATTTGTTTTTCTACTGACTGGATGCCAAATTGTACTTCTGCCTTTCACCTTGATATGTGAAAGTGATAAGTAGCATGTCTTTTTTCCCCTCTCAGTTTAATTATGGTATAGCCAACCCTGCCATTTACTTTCGACATTTCTCAATACTTGGAACTTTATAAACTAATTGTAAAACACTACTACCTGGCCCCACACATATACACACTCATATTATGGTCATTGGTTACAGGGGTTCAGAACATGAGGGGCTGAATTTTTTCTCGATTTTTTAACATCACACAATTACAGAAAGGTGTAAAAATAGAAGAGTGAGTTGATATGACTCCCCATCACTGTTTAAAAACTGGCGTGTGTATTTCCTAGCAACAAGGAAATTCCTTTGTAACCACAAGAGAGCCATCCCCATCAGGAAGTGACTGTCAATTCATCTCCAACAGGCCTCAGACCTCATTCAGGTTTCTCCACTTGTCCCAGGGGATCCAGTTCAGAATCATGTTTCACTTTAGTCTCAATTTGACACCATTCCTCACTCTTGGCTATACTTTTATGACCTGGACATTTGATAAGTTTACAGGCTAGTTACTTTGTAGACTTTGTAGATTTTGGCTGTGTCTGATGTTTCCTCATGATCAGATTCAGATTATCCAGCTTTGACAGGACTATCACAGAAGTGATGTTTTACTTATCACATTGCATCTTATTTATCCTGCTATTGATATTTACTTTAATTATGTGATAAAGGAGGTATGTGTAAGATTTCTCCACTATAATACTATGTTTTCCACCTTTCTAAGGTATTTTCAGGAATGATTTTCAAGAATGATCTACATATCCTTTCCTTGTCAAACTTTCATATATTTCATGTATTTGTTTATATCTGTATGTACTTATGGTTTCCTCTTAATCATGGGTTACAATCTCTTTCTATCAAGGTAATCTGTGGCTAATGTGATAATCAAAATGAGGAAATAGACTTTTCTGTCTTTCTTGTCCTCAATCTTTGAGCACTTTCTTCCAATCTGCTATAAAGTATATCAAGGTCATCTTAAACTTTTTGTCCCCAGTCTTGTAACCAGCTATTTCTCCAAAGAACCTTGGTTCCTTTTAATGGAAAATAGTATTTAGAATCTAGGTGTACATGTTGCATTTGATTTCTTTGTTATCAAGTCCTCTCAGCAGACAGCTGAGGAATTTGAGATAAAGATCCTTGTATTACTTAAGCCACGTGAGCTGGATTTTAAACTTACTTTCAACCCCTAAAGGGAGCATCTTTTGAACTACAAAATAGGTCATCTTGCAGAACATTAGCATTCTCACAAACACAATTTGGGAAATACTAATCCAGGATAATTTTTTTTGGTCCATAGAGAGGTATGGCCAGTCATCAAAGACCACACAAGGAATCAGTGACAGTGGGGATTAGAACCCTGGTCTCCCGGTTCCTAAGAGACCAAAGCAGGTGCTGCCCCTTTCCTTACCTACAACTTAACCCCCCAGAGCGATGCAGCTCATGCTTCCTTCTTCGTCTCTGGAAGATGGCACTGAAGAACTATGAAATCTCTATTTAAAAATACTTATGAGTGAACTTTTGGAAATTAAGTCAAAAGGATGCATATATTCTTTCTCTTAAATGAATTAAAAAAATAAAAACCACCAAACACCCAAACCAAGATTTTCTGGCTCCAAGGGTCTGCTGTACCATACATCTATCACTAGGTGAAATAACAGAGCAAAATTACAGCAGCCCACAGACTGAGCACACACCAGGCAGCAAGACTCCCTGCAGATGAAGAAGACAGTTTGAACTGCTGCTAATTCATGTCCACTCATCTAACCAACAACATAATCTCCTGTTACTTCCTCTGGTGGAAGCTATTGCAATTTGCTGTATTTATCACAGGGTTTTGATCTAGATGAAATGCAGTGCTATTTTTACAATGTCACACCTTTTCAGAAAGAAGCCATTATTCCTTCCTGTAATGCATTCATAAGCAAATTTGTCATCACCGATCATTACTCCAGACCTGTTGAAATATGTTAATTTTGTCTCATTTTCAGAAAGAATCAAGTCAAAACTAAGGCAGCACAAACTTATATTCTCCCCAAACATCTCATAGTTAATTTTTTAACCTAGTCGGAGGAAGGTCTAAATTGCGGGAGCACCCTATACTAACATTTAAAAAGAGAAAATGATTCTCTCTGCTCTTCTGTAACACCATGAGACAATGGGTCAGAATTTTTGAGTGTGAGAAGACATCTCTTTTGTGGGCCCCTTGCCGGTGGCCGGGGAACGAACCGGCATTGCAGAGGCTGCCGGCAGCCTCGCAGCCCAGCGTTCAATTTCTGCGCCTGATTGTAGGGCAAAAATGGTATCCCATAAAAAATATTAAACCCTGTGACTTCCAAGCAGTTTCAGAGAAACTAAGCCCCAGCTATGCAGACCACATTTTCAAATTGAACTACTCCTTTTACTGGTGACAGACATAAAACAAATAAATGAACATTACTCTCTAAATGAGGGGATGTTCTCTTTTGCTTCCCCTAATTCCTTACTTCCAAATTATGGTTAGTTGGTTTTGTTCATGAATAATCTCGTGTCTTCAGTTTCCCCTTCTGTAAAATGGAGTCTGCCTGTTCTGTTCCCCACTCTGTCTCTGGTGAATCCTTTCACCTTCCTGCTCATCTGGTCTGTACCCGGGTTCTTGTATAAATAAATAAATAAATCTTTATTTTAAAAAAAAAGATCAACTTTTTACTTACTGGGTAGCCAAATAGAAAAAGAATGGCGGTATAGCTGCTATTATAAATATAGCTGCTAGAAATAAAATCCAAATAGCTGCAACATTTAATTAAATATACAAACAACATCATAGAAATACCAGAATAAAACACAAGTTGATTGTCTAAAACCTAAGAGTAGATTAAGCACCCCCAACAATAACTCAACATCCAGAAGAGGGGGAAGATTGATAAATCTGACAATATAAAATGGCGTTTTGTGGCAAAAGTAACAAATGAGAAACAGAGAAAAAAAAACTGCAACTAACATGGCAAACAAATCCCTAAGTAGAAATAGCATAAAGTTCCAACATTGAGAAAAATTCTTATTATTCTTAATCATATAAAAAATCAAATTATTCTTAATCATATAAAAAGATACTCAGAATAAGGGCAATACAAAATTAAAACTACATTGAAATATGATTTCTTATCATATTGGTTAAAATGATAGAAAATATCAGTACATAAAAAAATGTTAGTTTCACACCAACTTTCTAGGTTGTAAAGAAACAAGCACTCTCATATATTGCTGGTGGGAATGTAAAATAATAGAGCCTCTAGGAAGAGGAATTTGTCAGTCTCTAGCAAAATTATATTGGCATATAACTTTTAATCCAGCAATCTGATTTTTAGGAGTCTAACCCAAAGGAAAATGGCATGTGCACCAGTCTGAGCTGCCTTTAGACACAATAGCTTCTGACAATGAATGTGTAGAATTTTTCTCCACCTCAGTCAACTCGCTGGACACCATCTGGATGTCCTACAATTCAACTCAACTTTGATACTAACTACCCAGAGTTAGCACAGACCCCAAAGTGTTTAGCTCAAGACTGACCCCTCTGCAGATGCCAATCACGGGTCCCAGGTCACTTGCACTTCTGGTCATTTGTACCACAGCTCATAGAACACAGGGAAATATGACTTGCTATTACTAGTTTATTATAAATGATCCAAATGAACAGCTAGATGAAAAAGTACAAAGGGTGAGGTCTGTGGAGAAGGCCTGAGCATAGAAGCTCCAGTCTTGGCGGAGTTAAGCAGTCATTTTCTGTTTGTAAATAAAAACTAGCCATGTTAGTGGGGTCAGGCACACTTGGCTTGTGCTCTTGGCCAGGCAGGTTTGGTCTCGGTGGGTCATTTGGGATTCCAGGTCAGCGGAACAGGCAGGACACATTTAAGAATTTATCTCCCTCTTTTCTCCCTGAGTTGTACATTTCCTCATTCCCCTTCCCTTGTAAATAAACATTTTGTTAACCTTTAAAAAAAAAAAAAAAAAAAAAAAAAAAGAAGACGCTCCTTTAAAAAAAAAAAAGAAGACGCTCCAGTCTCCAGGAGCTGGGTTGCACCACCTTCCTGGCACCAATCTGGAAGCTGCCTGGACCCCATAATTTAGAGGATTTTATGGAAGCTCCATTATGTAGACATGATTGACTAAATCAGTGGCCATGGGTGACTGACTCAAAGTCCA